GGCGTCTCTCTCTCTCTCTCTCTCTCTCTCTCTCTCTCGTTCTCTCTCTCTCACACCTTCCCTCTCTCTCTGGCTCTCAGGTGAAAAACGAGCCCGAGGCGTGGGCTGGGCTGGGCTGGGTTTTGGTCAAGACCCCCCCCCCCTCACCCTCCAAAAAAGAGAGATATTTTTTTTCCTTATTCTGCAAAATTAAAAAAAAGTTTAAGAGGGGCGAGAATAAAAGGGGGGAGTGAGGTTCTTCTTTCTCGTCAGATCTATTGTACCAGTTTTCATGTTTCTACTTGTTGTTGCGAGACTAGGGACGGTTGTATGTATCATAAAAAAAATTGGGTGTTTTGTTTTTTCTCTTACTTTTTCCTCTTTTCTCGTTTCTTCTTCGGTAGATGGATGGAATTGACTGGACGTTCAACACGGGTAAAGGCCAATGGTAATCAAACCAGATCGGTCGGGCGATGGGTATGAGAGACTATCGGTTGGGGGTGAAAGGGGGTTTGGGGGATTGCGGGCGTACTAGATGGCAGGATCATACTGGTTTGTCCAACTGGTCGATTGGGATAGATAGATGAGATATGGCGTGTGAGATGGAGACTGGAGAGATTTGTCGCGATTGCGATGTGAGCCGGGACAGAGAGGGGGTCTTAGATTTTTTATTTCTGGACTTTCTTTTTTTGTCTTGTGGTGTTTGAAAATAGGTGTGGTTACAAGAAAAGTGGACAAGTCTAATATCGAGTATCAATTGAATTGATCCCCTATAGATCTGAATTCCTATATTCTATTTTATTGAAGCTATTCTCTAATTGAAAAGGCTGTTGGTTGATTGGTCATGGACTCATGGTATTGCGATTTCTCTTTCAGGAGTTCATCAAGAATGATTCGGGGCTTTATTTATTTATTTGCCCATTTATTCACTCACGCCTCTCCTCTCCTCTGCTCTCCTCTCCTTCACGGTATATATAATCTTAATTTTTCCCCATCAGACCAGTTATAATTAGCGCTAGCCTCAAGACATGAATAATTTATCGAGCATGACCCGTCTTACTAAACGCCTCGCTTAAAATCTACGAACCGCTTTCGTCAATAGTAAGATCATCCTCCAAAAAATTCAAAACCGCAACATGTTTTGCAATATAAACAAATTCACAACGCATAAGTCGGACAATCAAATTCATCGTGTCTTCACATCGACTAATTCTATTCTGAACTTCGCAGCCGCCAAATTCCCCAAACCAAAAACCTCGCCGCGAAAACTCCCTTCTAAATATTACAGCCATCTATAGATTGAAGAATGGTGATCTCTCTATAAAAACAAAAATGAAAAGATCTCGAGGCCCGCGGGCCCTCTTGATTTCTCATGTTGTGCTGTCCTAGAGGGGCGTAGCTACCTATAGAAGGTAGTTATGAATAATATATATTGCTGTCGCGAAGTTGATTGGTGCTGAGTAAGCGACCAGAAAAAAAAATGGAGGTTGGCGGAATCTTCGCGTAGTAGGGCGTTGCATTGCGAAGGGGATCTGGATGCTTTCGGAATCAGGTGTGTGGTTATAATCATAGGGCAAGTGCCTACCTTGTTGATTTTTGCAGCAACAACGGAAGTTGCAGGAGTGGGGAGCTTGAGAGAAAAAGGGAAGTCCAAACTAAGGTCTCCTGGGGGTGGATTATATGCATCTCGATTCCCGCTCGTTCATATATACAGAAGTCCCAAGTACACGAGCAGCACTTACAATACCAATAATCATAATAGGCTACTACCAAGCCAGACAAGCCAATGCTGAAGAACCCATATTCTATGGCTTTCTTGTATCCATGTCTTTTCACCTGCTTCAAAAACCACCACAATCGAGATAGAGGGGCACAGCGCGCACTGCAATCGATGTCCCCAGCCCTCATGCAAACAGAGATAATAAACTTGCATCTCAACCTCCTCCCATGCACCTCCCCAGTATCATAGCTTCCTATCTCCCATCCTTCCCCAAGAAGCCTGGGGCGCCGACGTCTCAACAGCCCTCTTCGTCTTTACACCTCCCACAGTCCCCGGAATACTTCCCAGCCCGATCGTGCCCACCCCAGGCGTAGGCCCCAATTCCCAAGTCCCCAGCGCCGTCGTCGCAAATGTCTGCACGAAAAGCGTCCACGTCGCGCTCGTCACCCCATTAATCGTGAACAGGCTCCCAGCCGTACTCGCAATCGGGTATTGACTGGCCGCGAGCGTGGTGGCGGCCACACCGCCCCCCGCTGCTAGTTGTCTTTCCTCGAGCTTGGCAGCTTCGACTTCGCGTTTTGCCTGCTCGACTTCGGAGAGCTGGATGGAAGAGGAGACGCTTTGTGTTGGATCGTGGTTCTGGAATGGCGGCGCGTTTGGGGAGAGGAGCCTAACATATTCTTGATGAAGGTGTTCGGGGTTGACGTTTAAGCTCGCGGTAGCTATAGAGCTCAGGGCGAGGAGGAAGAGTGATTGAAGTTGCATTTTATTTGGGTTTGGGAGGGTTGTTGATTCAGCAGGATCAGTATCGCATAGTCTACTGAACGAAATCCAGTCTTCAATTCAGCATCCGTTTCGCTCGTGTCTGGATCTTGCGATTTTGAATTGACGGTGGTGGTGTTGGTGTTGGTGTTGGTGTTGGCTTGGAAAGAAACAAGGAGACGACGACTATCGTCTGAAGTCTTGAACGATAATCGTCGGCTCGCTTAGGTGGGCCTCCTTTCAGCCTTTCAGTCTTAGTCGGTATAAGCGACTGCGGATCGGAAGCGAGTGCGGATTTTTCGAATGTATTAGAAATTCTTATATACTATAGCAATTACTATTATAATCAACTAAGGAATATTTATATACATAATTAATTTACAAGCATATCTTTTTCCGAAACATTTAAAATCGTATTATTAATCGATAACAAGCTTGCTATTAAGCAGCAAGGTAAAGAAAATCTTGAATCTGTTGCAAAATAATAACGCGTCGATAAGATTTAAAAAGAAGAAAAAGATACTAAATATCGTAGAAGAATCGCATAATTAAGCGCGAGCGTAAAAGTATTATACGAAAACGCTTTGTTATAAGCTTAATTATTAAAGACGACGATATAATGCTCATTCTAATTCTCGATTCGAAAGAGATTTGATAGATGCAACAACTTCTTAAAGGTCAAATTTTGCGGCCTCGTAAAAAAGGTATTCCTCGACCAACTCTTTCTCAACTCGAACTTTCTTACGATAACGATGATCTGATAATTATAACCGATACTATTAAAGACCCTTTTTTAAAGCAAGATGTTTTCCTTTTTCTAATATTAATATCGATAGCGATAGTTTCAATTTTATAATAGTAGAGATTCAAACGATTCGTTGCGTAAAGTAAAAGACGAATCAGATTTTGAAAATAACAATCGATAATCAAATGTTTTATCAAATGATACGATTTCGGATGTTTCGAAAGAAGATATAATCGCAGACTAATTATTTATATAAATATTTTTAAGTTGTAATAGTAATTAATTGCTATAGTATATAAAAATTTCTAACACATTCGAAAAATCCGCACTCGCTTCCGATCCGCAGTCGCTTATACCGACTAAGACTGAAAGGCTGAAAGGAGGCCCACCTAAGCGAGCCGACGATTATTGGCATTCGCTTATCTGGCAGGTCAGGGGTAAAGGAGGCTTGATCCACACAAGAGATAGGGTGGGTCTGGGCGGATATGGCACCTGACTCGCCCCGAGACCGGATATCACGAGGATATCACGAGGAGCACATAGAACTGCCTTATTGACAATGTCTTCTTGCATTACTGCATCTTCAATTTAACCCTATAGCTCTGCAAGCGCAAGCTTAATTAAAACTATCATCTGATAAGATCCAGCGCCGCTAGCAAATAAGCGATACAAGACAGTAATCCAGACCTATTTGCAATGCACACAGAAGAGATATCGATATCTTCAACTTCCAAGGAAAAAGTTGGTTTGCACCTACGATGACTCCACCATGCTCCCAAGTTTTCGGCAGACATAAAGTTCTGAGATGGCGACGATGGAACGGTTTTGTGCGAGCTTTCCGGAATCCCGAAATGCCGAGCCAACTTTCTAGATTCTCGTCCGGGTCTGAGAGGAGTTGGGAAGGGTGCGTGTACGCATACGCATATGCCAGCCCTAGCAGCGCACAGCTGTTGGCACACAGTGCAGAGCGGTGTTAAGAACATAGGTAGAGTGCGCGAGGCAATGTAGCAGTGGTATTGTGATTTCAGACCGTTCGGTAGCTGCGGTTCCGTGGTTCCTTCCAGCTGTATAGCTGGTAGGGGCTCGGCGTGTTGATTAACAGTAGATATACTATAGCCATGTAGAGGTTGGCCCGTCGCACCCCACGGCTTTATCGCACGTGGCGAATTGCTGCGATCAAAACAAACTCAAGATCTGTGTCAAAGATTAGAAAGCCCTGATCTAGGACACACTAGGCAAGAAATCGGCATGAAATCAAGCTTGATTTTGGGAGAGGCTTGTTCAGGGGAAATACAGTCTTGTGAACACCTTCTTGTCGACTGTGCTCGTCAGGATCCCTAGAAAGCAATCCATACGGCACCCAAGAAGTGCTTGTAACTATTTTAGTGTGCGTTTTTGAGCTTTGAATCCGTACATTGACAAGAAGGCGGGGGTAGGTGTGATCTTTTGCGGCATGGCGATTCTGTTCCGTCCAGGATATAGCCCATTATAGTCTCGAACGATCGGGCGCATCCGGCCATACAGGCAGTACAAATCTTCATGATCCCGGCCATATGAATGCCGAGAGGCCGTCCAGTACATAACTTGACGATTTTAGGGTCCAGGCCAGGTGTTTCTACCGGGCTCCGGAGTATCATGACGGCGAAGTTGTGGGCATACCAGAGGCCTGATTTCGCAACTGGACTCAGGATATGCAGTCCTACGCATTTGGCCCCGCGTCACTGGCTGCTGCTTCCTGCTCCAGCTTCAATCTTCGTTCCATTTCCACCCTCTCCTCCCACAGTGGCTGCAGACCCCCCATGAGCCTCGGCGTCTTACTCCGCTGCTTCACAACCTCTTCGCGTTTCGCAGACCACACATTGCTGATCGGTGTCCCATCAGGATCATACCGTAACGACTTCTGCTCCTCAGGAGAAAGCACTTCTTCAACACGATATGCACTCTTTTCCGTATCCCAGTCCACCAACCCCTCGGACCAGTTTGAATCAGGCACCGTCTTTTTCAGAGTATGAGCTATATATGAGGATCGTTTGGGTAGAGGGCCGTATGGTCCGTGGCAGGGATTTTGTCGGGGAGACACCAAGAAGGCGTTGTGGTTGTAGTTTGTTTCGGAGGCGTATAGAGAAAAGACCTTTGAAGTTTCGGCATCTGAGTTATCTGTTCTCTCTGTAGATTCGGCCACCAGGCGGTAGCGGACAGGGGAAACGTTTCGGAGATCCTGCGCGGAGGACTCCCAGGTGTACACCGAGAGGAAGCTGTTGTGGACTGGTGTCTTAGGGTCATACTTTGGCGTAGATCAGTATAGTTCTTGTGGTTAACCTCAAGCCCTGCGCAACCGAGAGAATAATAAGATAATTCTACCTTATGCGATTTGAACATAGCAACTTCCCCAAACCGTTCGATCACTCGCAGCACTTCGCGGCGCTCGGCGAAGGTCTCTGGTGTTGGGTAGACTTTCAGATGGAGGGTTCTGGCGGCGAGGGTCCGCATGGCGGATGAAGCCATCTTGGTGCCGGAGATTGACGACATGTTGATGCAGTTGCCAATATTCCTCCAGTCAATTGATCAGGCTGGTTGGCATTGGATCGGGTGTTGTTGGAATAAGAAGGGTCGAAAAATTCTTCCTACCTGGCGAGTAGCCGAGACCGAAGTCCTATCCGAATTTGTAGGGCGGGCCTGAACACACTACTTCCGCAAGTTGCACTCTCTTGGCATCAACTCAACGAACGACCATCCATCCACTCGTGAGGTCACTAGAGTTACCACCTTCATTATCTTAATTTATTTCAGTTGATTACCAAATTCTATTATATCTTCCCAGATCTGCTTCTATTCTCATATGGCGATGCCCTCGGCACGTTTATATGTACATTGCTCAGAAGCTTGGCGGTATTCTATTTCAATGCGAACAGTACATCTCACCATCTCAGGGTGCTTTGTTATATTTCTCTTTAATTCAACTTCTACAGTTCTTATTTTGTAGATCTTCTGCGTCGAAGCTTGCTGCCGCTTTATTTCGGCTGGAAATCAGCTTTCACGGTTCCCTAAGTAATGTTTACGGTATCGATGAAACACTTTTGCGTCAATATTATAGTCGTCCCGGATAAGGGAGTCTGTGAGCTGCTTGCTCATCGACTCAGCCAGCCCACAGGCTGATGAATTAGTAACCAATTGTGCTCTTAGCAGACGCCAGTCACCCAAATTGTGATTTATGTTCAAGTATCCCTGGCCAACTGCGAGTGTAAAGCAGATCCTTGTTTCTAGTTCAGCCAAATCCTATCACTTGGCTCAGTCCAAACTCAGCTCAATCTGACTGACCGAATTTAGCTCAGACTAACTGACTCCTGGCTGACTCCTGACTGACTCCTGACTGACTCATGACTGACTCCTGACTGACTCCTGGCTGACCCTTGACTGACCCCGGACTGACTCGGCTCAGACTGACTGAATTTGGCCCAGACTGGATTGGTCCAGACTGGCCGATTGCGACGCGCAACAAAACCTCGAGATGCTACAGAATGATTGGTCGAGGGAGTGTCGATCGATCCGTTAAGTGAACGAATAAGACTCGAGGTCCTGATATTTTGTTGCACGTCGTACAACGTATTTTATTAATTAGTGAGTTAGTCGGTGTCGCATTTTAAGAATTTCCCGGAAAATACATATCCCGTAAATGATTACCATTATCAAGAAAATGTCGCACGCTCTGGCGAAGGGGGAAAGCCATTGCTTCAGGCAGTCAGCCAGGAATTCAAGTTGCATGCAGAAGAGTCCTGATTTCTACCGAAATTCCGACTTGGACTCACAAACACGTCCAAATGTCACCCGGAACCAGGCTGGGCTTATCATAAGTACGTTACGAGCCAGAACCTCCTTGATGTTCTGGGAAATTCGTACAGCTTTGATGGATTTCCAGACAAGTTTGTGTCAATGACTAAAGTCTGAAGTTCTTGAAATCAAGTGCCTTTGATAGAGAATATACGGTGCTGGACTATGAAATCACGTGCAGATTCAAACCGAAGGGCGTCAGCCTCGTGAGGCCGAACTATCTGTTGTGAACCAGGCCAACAATCTTCGTGCCTGAGCAATTAACATTGACATCCCCTTCCCAAGAAATCAGACACGTTCCATCTCTCATCAATTCCTATCCACCTCCCTCAACCCCAACAATTTCCTGTGCAATGACTATCGATCGATCGTCCGAAAGGGCAGTACAAAGCCAGACCTCTCCCCTATAGGCCTCCCCTCCCGTCACTATAACAATCCAGCAAGGCTGATGCACCAATCCTCCCCCACTCAGCCGCCCTACTACGCCTTCTATCTTCACACCGATGCTTCTCTGCACACCGTCCGGCTTTTTGGGCCGCTGTCAATCCCAAGAAATGGTCTTGTCGGAGGTGGTCTTGACCCCGATGGCCCCCACCGTCACTTGAGGCCATTGGTGAGAAGTGGGAGGCGGAGTATGTGTAGGTACTATATGTGTCTATAAAACGGCGGCATTTTGAAGTTCTCAAAATAGTCTGGATTCGAGCTGAAGCCTGGAAGTTGATGTTTTTGTTGAATTACCATATATTCCTCTCTTATCCTATATTCCTTTCTTGCGAATTCATCAGCGTCAAGGCACGCCCTGGAAATTTCGTTATTATACGGCAGTTATCGTCTTCAACTCTGCGCTTCGTGCCTACTGGCGATTGCTCTTATCCCAGTCGGTAATAGCAAAAAAATATGTACTGTTGCCGCTGTCGCAGGTTGTCCTGTCGGGTTTGTTGCTGGGTGCTCTGAATTATGCAGAGGAGAGTCTATCTAGGCCAATGAGTCCCGTTCATATCCTCAGTCAACTATGAAAACAGTGTCTCTGTACGGTTTATGGCGGAGGAACTTCTCAAGCGGTCAGTTCATTGTAGCTGATGCAGCGTTATCCTTTCTATATCGATGAGACTTCGAATACTGACTTGGAGGCAAAAGATTCGGAAGACAGTTCCATCCAGCTCGATACGATGCAACGCATTTTACTTCTGGCAAAATTCCACGGTCACAGATCGACGCAGTTTGCCACGGGCTTCCGGTCGCATGTATGCACATCGATCTTTGGAAAAACCCTCGCCACTTCGGTGCCAAGCCTGGTTCTAGCGTGCCATTCTCAGCATCCCGAAGAAAGATTTCCCCCAATTTCCAGATGAAAATATCCAATCCTTGAAAAAAATCTGGTGCATGAATCTCCCGGCTCCAATGCCTACTCGGTTCGGCTGGTTATTCGAGTGGTCCGGAGGCAGAAATCCAATGAACACAACTGTAAGTTACAAGCGATCCATCTCCTCGTCTTTTGGATCTGTTTTCGTATCTACTGACTCCATTGTTCTAGTGGCCTTGAGGCGACGTTACGACCTCTGTTGGTATAATGGGGCGTCTGCTGGATATCCGTCATGCTTCGCGATCTCAGTATCTCCATGTCATCTCGGAATCCGTACAAGGTTGAGCATGATCTCGATACTAGTGCGTCCTCGGATAAAACATACTCTCCTCATTGGGTGGAAAAATATGGTATGTTGTGGTGGTGCTGTTCTAATTCACCTCCCCAGCACAGTGGTATTCACTTTGCCTCGCTATCGGATCTGGCTCTCGCCTCTTCACCACGCCACACATTTATTTCGGTTCTCAGCAGGAGCAACGTCTTCATACATCAAGCAAGAGGCCAACCCCCTCCGTTCCAGCTGCTACATACTAATACGGCGTGACTACTGCTGAGAGGGCAAACCGACCAGCGCAGTCATGTTCCCATGGTCATCAGCCCATCAAAGGAATGAGAACCTTGTTCCAGGGGCCTCGAATCCTCGCCGACTCCACACTCAATTGCAACAGGCAGACACGCCGTGGAACACTGCTACGGGTGAGTCATCCTGGCCTATTTCAGGCGACTCGGGCAGGTCTATCGTAGACTTGCAGAACCACGTGACTGAACTGACTACAACTTACAGTCACGAACGCGGTATCAGCTGAAGCCTGCTACGATCCACATACAAATACAGGCGGCATGTCTGGTCCCGAATTCCATGCCCAAGTAAACATCGAAAAACATGCCGCCAAGACTCACGCTAGCACTAGTTTAGCCGAAGATCACTCGACGTTGCCACCTCAGGTTTTCAAGGCACAACTCATCAACCATCACCACCTTCAAGCAAGCCCGAATCCGACGCAGCAGGCCTCCGCCCAACAGCAGTACGGGTCCTCTCGCCACAGTTATCAACATCTTTATTACGTCGCCGCCGCTGCTGCTGGTGCCTCCCATCTTGAAGTCTCAAACTACAGCGATCACTTCGATCCAGGCACCATGTCGCTCTACGAATCTCGACAATTCCCCGACTACCCGCATTCTACCATGATGCACGATCCTCATCAAGAGCAAGACGACAATAATATGCAGCAAAATCGATATCCCAGCCCTCCCCCGCCGATGAGCGAGAGCCCATACCATCCTCAAGCAATGGACGCGGCGGCTTTGGGCTTAGAAGATATGACAGAGTTGCCGACGAAGGACGAGGAGGATGCGCTAAGCCCTGGCAGATCCAAGGCCATTCCGAAGCCAGATCGAGAGGTGACAAAGGGTGGGGACGGGCGCTTTGTTTGTACTTGGGTGGGATGCACAGAAGAGGTGCAGTCTTTCACTAGGAAGTGTGAGTGGTCAAAGGTACATACCCGTCCATTCTCATGCTATTCTTAGGGTAGGATCCTCAATTTCAAGATTCGTAGCTGATTTTCTAATCTTCTAGCATATGGATAAGCACGACCGGCCGTACAAATGTCCATCCGAAGGCTGTGAGAAGCTCCCTGGATTTACCTACTCGGGCGGACTGCTGCGCCATCAACGAGAAGTACATAATTTACATGGAGGACCTCGGAAACAACTCAACTGCCCACATCCTACTTGCAAGCGGTTTTCGGGCAAAGGATTTTCGCGGCAAGAGAATTTGAATGAGCATTTGCGCCGGGTACACACGGACACTAGTGAGACCATAAATGCAGAAGAAACCGAGGACGATGGTAGCGAGAGGGCAGGAATGAAGAGAAAGCGGGCCCATGATGAAGGGGCGGAGCTGAGGGCGGAGATGGCTCAGCTTCGAAGTGAGAACGAGGAGCTACGGAGGCAAGCAGAGTTGCAGACAGCGCAAACGAACGAAGTAATGAGACAGCTCCAACATCTGCAAGCATTGGTTGGCGGCAATATGGGGGGTCACCAGCCACGTCAGGCTCCGCAAGCACCGATGATCTGATGAGGGACGATTTGAACATTACTGGCGAGCAGGTTTCCGCTCTTATAGGCATGGGCGTTGGTGGTGGGCGGTTGGGTGGAGTTTGGGCCACGGTTCAGCAGTGGCATGGAGGCGTTATGGCTACTGCGGGTATGCAGGCAGGTTTGAGGTTAGTATGGCCTCATATCGTGCCATAGCCGGGCTTCCACTAAGACTGTCATGTCGATTGTTCACATACTAGATAAAGCTCACTTTTTTCAACAGCTCTGCTTCAACTCCCATCATGAGAGTACCGGCGTTTTGGCTTAAGGCCCATTCTGGTAAGTCTAGGAAAAGATTCGGAAGTTTCAGACAAGACAATTTTAGATCTGTTCCCAAGCCCAAAGCTTCTGCCCGACTCATGGTCCGTGGAGTACTCTCAAGTAAACGAACGGGCTGGGTATTTCCATCCAAGATGCTCTCATCTCTTTGGCCTCGTTTACAGTGTTCTGGCAGGCTAGCTAGTCCTTTCCTCGATTTCTGCATAAATCCATACATAAGCCTAGCTCCAGCACCAAACAAACTGCTCGGGCCATGTTCGAACAATAAAAATCGCTTGGGGACCGCCAAAGCCTCTGAATACCGTGTTGCTGTGAGTGTTCGTCTTACAGCAGTGCTCACGGATCGAGACGTTAGGAATCTCATAGCAATTATCGAGATGGTATAGCAGCGATCCGTGACTGCTCCGGACATGTCCTGTCAAAAGCCACCGTTATCGTAGACGTCCGCTTCAAAAGCGATGAGCTTTCCGTCGAGTATGCGCCAACTTTTCATCGACATTAGACCAGGTGCCGTTGCCCTGAGGTTATCATGTGTTCGTCACGATTAAGCATGTATCGAACGGGGCGCCATGTTTTCTTTGCTGCTACGGCAAGCATATCTGCCAGCTGGGCGGACCGCGATTCTTTGCCTCCGGAAGCGCCACCTATGCGTTTTACGCGGACGTTGACTTTGTTGCTGGGGATAGCACGAACTTGGGACACGAATTCTTAGGGCCCCATACTACGGAGTCGTTAGCTGCGCTGCAAGGGAGCTGTGGAAGAAAGGCGTGCGTATTCTGGGTCGAGGATCACACTTCGAAACACTTATCTTCCTTGTTGGGGATGAGCATAGCGGCGTGAGTCTCCAGGTAGAAATGCTCCTGTCCAGCTATCTATCCGAACCACCCCCTCGAGGACTTGATCGCATTTCGACCATATACCGCCCATCTTGTCATCTAATGCTTCTCTCAGATTCAACATCTTGCCATGCTGCACGATCGCCTTGATCCGCTCAGACTAGGTCAAGAGCGGAGGGGGTATCGAGTGGTGATGGCATGATTGCGGCGATATTGAGGCAATAAAATACGCAAAGGATGGGGTGCGGCTGATAACTCCGGAACGACGTCTGCATGGATCGAGATAGTATCACCGGGTAGGGTTCTTTCCGTGCCGGGATATTGGACAGACACCGCTTGAGGGGGCCAGTCCTGAAAGCAGCTAGCAATAAACGTGATCTCGAGGAGAAGGCAGTGAGGTGGAGGGTCATGTTCTCTATAATCTCCTGATCTGATTAATCTGTTTCTTTTCATCAGATCAGACCGATTACAATTAGCGCCATTAACTTCTTGGCTACTGTACTTTTCTGCTTCGCTGCGTTCCAGCGGCGGGCTGTATCAGCGGAGAGTCCGCCGGCCGAGGAAGAGCCAGTGGAGCGGGACAACACAACAAGTAAGCCATGCTAGCATCGTGGGAATTGCGCGCAGATATAATTTGTATATCACAATCGATCTAGAACTGCTGCAATATGAGTTCCTCTTGCGTTGAATGCGACTTTCCCTTATATGACTTTCAATAATTCTTTAGGCAAGATGCGGTCCGTCCAGCTAGCTGTTCGTATACCAGCCACCGTGCCACAGGGCCCATATATATGATCGGTCGACTCATATGCTACAAGCGTTATATTATGTGAGAAGGTGATATACTACGTACGTAGTATCTGCTTTGACTAACTCTACTAAAGCTTGATATAAGATTGAATCATTTTATAGTCATACGTAAGCTATTATTCGTTATTAAAAGATTTATACCTAGCTTCTGTTTACCTTTGAAAGCTTGTGGTTATAGAAAGTTCAAGCTGTCGAATCCCTGTCAACTCAATTGCACAGACTAAATGCTGACCTAAAGCTTCTTACTTAACAACCTCATCCATTGTACACTAGAGCTCATCCATGGTTCGCGTAAATCTCCACCTTTACTAAAAACAACCCCCCCCCCAAGTTAACTAGAAGCGCGTGTGCATGAACTAAGCATCGCATATGCATTACACGCGCGCAAATGGATAAAGAGACTTACGGTTTGATAGTTGATGGTTGTTATTGTTATTATAGCAGATTATGGTTGTTATAGTTACTATAGTTGTTATAGTTGGAAAGGTAAAAAGAAAATAAAAGAAAAGCGATATGAGTATTACAGTAGTAAAGGAAGCCGAGTCTTAATCAGGTGTCGCTTAGAATTGTATCATGGACGATGATGCGCCGATGAAGACGTCAGCGCATGCGGCGTATCTGGAAATAGTGAATCTGGCAGCCAGCGGGCTTTGGAAGATGCCCAAGATCGGTTACGTTTGGGGAGAGTAAGATATGAACACCGTGGAGCCTATGTACTACTACTTCACCCAGGCGTGTTAGACCCTATCCCCCTTCACAATTAACAAGCCTAACACGGAACAGGGAGCAGCAAAATCCGAGGTTGAGCTTGATATTCTCACTGGCTCGCACACCACCGTCCTTTGCACCGATATCAAAATGGACATAGTCGCTCCAACGTCTTCGAAGGGGGTAGGAGAGCCTCCGTTGTTTCTAGGGGCGACGGTCTTATTCTCGTTGAGGGAGCCGGTAGAGAGTGCGAGGGAGGATGAAGATATGAGGGAGGAGAGATGGGTCAACGCTGAGAGGCTGCGGTATAGTGTTGGAGACGGGATCCTGAAGCAGGGGACGGTGGTGCCGATGGAGGGCGAGAGGAACTTTTTCGTGAGTGTTGCTTAAGTGGGGGCCGGTCCGTCATGGATAGACATTGGTGGAAGCAAATAAAAGAAAGGCCCCGTCTTACTAGTTAGGGATGGAATCAATCCAGCATGGAATTCTTCTAGATGCTTTCTATAAAATATATTGGATTTTGTCATTATCTGTGAGCTTAGGATTACGAATACTCTTCCAATCAGGCTTATTTGATTTACTCGCTGAAATTATGCCAACATGCCAGGCTGATTTAGCATACAGCATGCTGGGCTGCGATCTCTCGGATCAGTGGGGGGGGGGGGGGGGGGCAAAGCAATAGGAGACTTCAGACAAAGCCATGCCAGACCCAATCAAGAGAGAGTAGCGTTATGCGACGCAGTCAATGGTGCCTGCATGTAAGGCTTTCGTAGTAAAGATCAGGATCGCCAAGCTTTGAGACCTGAACTCTTTGAAACTAGCTAGGAGGAGCTACCGATTTTCTTTGGCTTCATTAGAAAGAGACTATCCCAATCTACCAAACCATTGAGTCGTGAATTCTTAGGGTGGTTGATATATAGGTAGGAAATTCGGAAGAGTAGAGGGGAGGAGAGAGACTTGTTTTGTTCATAGGGGCTCGCTTCGAGCCCCTTTTGTTGTCTCGCTTCCGACGCTTATCTCAGCACTCACTACACCTGGGCACTACGCCTAGACTTTGGCGTGATTTGGATTATATTAGTTGGATCCGAGATATAAAGGAGAAAAAAATCCCCCTAATGTCTCCACCAAACCTTAAATTAATGCCGAACTTTTTACTCTAGCAATAAGGGTACTGAGCTATCCCAATGCTCGAAGCGAGTTTGAAAGGGGGCTCGCTTCGATCACCCAACATCAATACCACGACATTTCGAGTGGTACATTTCTCTCTGCACCACCACGTTCGACTATCACTTGTCGGGTCTTCGACATAAGAGATATGATCATAATGAAGCTAAGCTATTTCAACCTAGCTCAACGAATAGCCGCTTCAATTGACGCGGCGGCCCCACAGTAAAGTCCCCTGCTCTTGACGCGCACAACAACACACCCACGAACTTCACCATTGCAGCAGCAACCTCTTCTTCTCACACACGAAACTTCGAAGAACTCGATCAACCATCCGCATCAACAAGGTACGCCCCCCTCAGCTCTCAAATACTGGCTGAGTCTTGATTAAACTCGGGCCAAGCGCGCTGACCTACCGCAAGTACACCTCACGATAACTGTCGCGGGGTTCCTTCTTCGCACACCTGAACTCATAGAACCTGACCTCAGATCTACATCATCGCAAAGGTACAATACACCCGATCTTCGAAGCTTTCTATAGTAAGCTCTCATTGAGTGTACTTGGCTAACGTGCTACAGATGCCTCGCCGAGCCGGAGGCAACGATAAACAAGCTGATAAACAAGCTGCAAAGCCAGTTACTGGCAGTACCTTCGACGCAATCGCTCCCTCCCTCCCAGCCACGTCCCGCAAGTCCCAGGCGGCAGAACTCGTCGAGAGCGAGTCGGAGGGATCGGGCCACCCTGCTCCAAAGACAACCACTGGCCCGAAGACTGCGAAGGCAGCAGAAAACCAACGAAAACACGAGGAAGCGATGAAGGAGAAGGCTTTGAAGAAGGCGCAGGAGAACGAGGCCAAGAAGGCCGACGATAGAGCCTTGGCCCAGGGCATCGCCATGGCACAGAAGGAGAGAGCAAATTTGGAGAAGCAACGTCAGCAGGAAGAGCTGAAGAAGCAGCAGGAAGAGCAGGAAGAGCAGAAGGCCCTTGCGGCGAAGAGATATCTCCAGGAGCAAGAAGATCTTGCAGAGTGGGAGAAGATTAAAAAGTGTTTCGATATTGAGCTCAGCGACGATGGCAATTTCAAGAAGATGCATGAGCTAGAAGTCAGAGAAGCCATCCGCGAGTGCCTTGATCTAGATATCGAGGATTACGCGACTGAGGAGGGCGCTCCAACTCTCGATCACTCCGGTAAGTTCTTCTTGATTCGATTGACTGAGGGGTTGAAAAGCTGACTACGAATTTGAAAAGTCCCGTGGCCACCCTTCGAAGTACGTCCGTCCTCGACTCACGGCACGGGCATATTCGCCACGCGCTTCATCAAGGCTGGTACCGAGTTCTTGCGTGAGAATGCTATTATGAAAGGCAACTGCCGGGACTTCGCGCAGGAGGCCCTCTTCAAAGTCCTGCCTGCGGAGAAGCAAGCCCGTATCCTGACATTGCACTCCACATGCAGCTGCGACGACCCAACTCAATGCAAAGAGACTCCGCTCATGAAGATCTTGAGATCCAGCACCTTCAAAGTCTCCCACGCAGCTCCTGGAGACGAGTATCTGGGTCCCTTCATATACGAGATTGCAGGCCGCTTCAACCATAGCTGTACTCCGAACGCTGCTCGCGGCTTCTCGGATGTTGGGGAGCTGATCGTACTTCGAGCATTCGTGGATATCCAGGAGGGTATGTACATCATTCCACCTAGCCCCGTGACTCTGTGTCCAGGTCTCCAGCTTCTCCCCTTGAAGTGATCATGGACTATGCAGACTACTAATACCACACAGGCGAGGAGATCACCATCGAGTACTTCAGCGATGGCGGCACCACCACCGAGAGACGCCAGCACCTGTACAAGCAGTACAGATTCAACTGCGACTGCCGAGCCTGCATCGCAGGCCTGAGTACCCGAACCGACGACGAGTACAAGATCTTCCTCGAATCCACGCGCAGCACCACCTCTCCTATCCTCAACACCCGCACCGCCGAAGAGAGCGCCATGCATAAGGCGGTAGACCAGTGGTATCGGGTAGTTGCAGCACAGATCAAGAGGAATCAAGTCAGACTTACGATGTTCTTCAGGGAGATGGAACTCGAGGGTACGAGCTCGCCTGCGCGACGCCAGCTCGAGCTTGATGAGTGCTTGAAGGAGACCATGAAGTACGTGAGGAGGGTCAACAAGTACGGCGTCGGGGAAGATGCTTTGGCGGCGTACGAGGCCGAGGTCAAGGCCATGCTGGATGGGCTGGCTGCGAAGCTTACCACGGAGGTCCTGAAGTCTGCCGAGAAGGTCTTCAAAGGCATGCAGTTGTAGAGGGTGGACAAAATGATAGGAATAGGCGTAGCCTTTGCTTACAGCAGATTCTCCAATCCATGCGGTGACCCGAAACTGCTTGTCGGTTTGAAACTAAACTTATGGATTGAGCTCTTTGATAGGAATGCTCCTAGGGATTGATGCGGCCATTATCGTAGCAGCGACACAGTCTGAGTCCGGACCTCGTTTTGATTCGTAAGCAGACTATACGAGCCAGAGAAAATGGGCCCTTCTAGAAGAAGAGATCTTCATATTTCTCAATCCATCCTTTCCTCTTTGAAACCTTGCCTAAAAGTGCCGTCAGGACCTAATATTCAGGTTCGAAGCGAACAAGGGCTTTGATAATGGTATTACTCATGTTCGAGATGAGGATTTGTCCGATACTGGCTGTCCCTTTGTAGACCAGCACCTCGTTTCAAATGCCACGTTAAGGCGGTGCTGAAAGGACTCTCCATGGGACTTAAAAGCTTGCAATGGCCATCTACTTGTACCATGAGGCTTTAAAACGATCACGGACACCAAGTATCTCTTACGACCATGACGGTAGTCGGAAGAGGTCAAAAAGCGAGCAGGGCCTTCCCCAATCGACGCGAGAAGCAGAGGAACAAGTGCAGAAAAGCAGAGGCGAGAACGAGATTAGAGGAGGAAGTGCATAGATCCAGTAACAGCAACGCGAGGGGTTTGACGATGGAAAGGAAACAGCGCGCTGGGAATGCTGGGATGGGAAAGTTGGAGATGGAGGATGGCGATGAGAGATTGAAAGGACGACGAGCTGGTACCCAGACTCAGGGAGAGGAAGATTGGGCCAACGACGATGAAGCTCTAGGCGACGCAGCAAATGCTCTTGCGAGCGAGAAAGTTCGCGATTCCAGAACCCCAGATCCGGAAGCCAAGAGCAGCTGCGATACCACGGTCACGGGTCCAATGATTATCCAGGAGCCGATCATCGCGTCCAGATCAGACCAAGACGCCGAAGAAGAAGAAGAAGAAGACGAACCCACCGAGATGCCGGACCTCGAGTTGGTCAACACAGAGAAGAAAACAGGTTCGTTCGGGGGCAGGATTTCCATTCCCGTTTTCGCGTAAGGAAGGGCTCGCTAATTCGTGAAGAGATAATTCCTCACCAAGACGCATCAGATCGGAGCCGCGCCAAGCTACTGGCCTCACCTCAACCCAGCTCCAAAGTTCACCTCGTCGCCTCCCGCATCCAGGCCGTCAGGGCCACCAGCGGAATCATCTTGGAAGAGGGCCCCATCTTCAAAGCGTCACCTCGTGGATCCAAGCTCGCCAGCGCGGCCCTCTTCGCGCACCTCTCGCCACCGCAAAAAGCCTCTTTTCTGGCCTTGCACGGCGAGCGCGTGAGCTACTTTTTGCAGAACCGCGAAGAGGAGTCTCTAATCACTGATATCACGGGGAGAGAGTCGAATGGCTCCGACTTAGCCGTGGCGCAGTCTGGGGACGGGGGGTCGGATGGCTATGCAAGTGAGCTCGCTTCAGGGCTTGACCACGATTGTAAGCTGAATGCCAGTCGGGGCTTGACGAGCGGCAGCCACATTGACGATGATGTGCTTGAAGGGGAGGAGAGTGAGAGCAAGAGGGAGAGAGAGATTGGAGCTCAAGGTATAAGAAGCAACAGTGGCGCAGAGGTTGGAGTCTCGGGACCGGCTGGTGGTCAAGAGACAGACTCCAGTCGGAATATCGGTAAGACGCATTCTCATTACCCAGATTATATAGATAAAGTAGATGAGATCCAACAAGCTGACCCCCATCCCGATACCCTAGCACTAGCACCACTACCAGCCGGTCTGCAATTCGAGATCCGACCCTCTTCACCCGGCCGAGGCCTCGGCGCATTCGCACTCGCCAACGTCGCCTCCGGAACTGAGATACTGGTCGAGCAAGCCGCCATCCCGCCCTCCGAGTACGCCTGGATCCTAGACGAGGCCTACTTCGCCGCCCTCTCCCCGGACAGGAAGCAGCGCCTCCTTGCCCTCCTCCCCCAGCCCACGACGACTCCTCCCTGCGGCGACAGCGACATGGCGCGGATCATGGAAGCCAGCGGCTTCGAGTGCAACGACGGGTTCGCCGTCTACGAGGTCGCGGCCCGCTTCAACCACGACTGTCGCCCCAACGTCAGACGCGGCTTCACGAAGGAGAACTGCATTGCGTTTGTGACCGCGAGGGAGATCACCCGCGGAGAGGAACTCACGATTAGCTATCTGAACATGGCGGGCATGTCCGTGGCCCGGCGGAAGGAGTTGACGCGGTGGTGGGGGTTCGAGTGCAAGTGTGACGCCTGTGTGAACAAGGTGACCATCAGCAGGGCCGAGATTTCTGCGGCGTACTTGGGCGACGACTACAGATGCCGAGGTCTGGTTGTTGGGAAGCTCACGGAGCGGGAGCTCCAGGCTCGCGCGGACGTCGAGGCCTGGTGGGAGGACGTGCATGGCAGTATTGAAGTCGCGTTTGCGCCGTACTATCACACCTTGAATGTCAACAAGAGGAGGAAGGGTCGCTTTGAAACGACATCTCAGCGAGCGGTGATGGTGGAAGAGCTTGCGCAAGAGGTGCTTCGGGCTATCAAGGAGAAGAACCAGTTCAGGCTTGACGATACCATCATCGACGCTAAGCTGCTCGACATTGCCCACTGGGTCGATCTCAACCTCGAAAATTATGTGAAGGAGTTGAAGCTGCCAAAAGCGCTTAGGAATCTCAAGGTCCGTATTGAATAGTAGACTGTAGCAAGGGCGGTGGTTTCTTTTGGTGAGAAGGCATGGAATACTACGCAGGAAGCTTACAGAACCCTTCATACCGACAGAATGAACAGCTGGTATGGAGGTAGGGAGGTAGAAGGCTTCACTTCCTCGAATCAGAACCTTTGTTCGAGGCAACTGCTGATAGTCACAATTCGGTGCCCATATCAGAACACGTACATCAGAGCTTTGCATAACCATGCCATCAACCTCTGACCCATCTCCGAATTGATCGATCATGAAGTTGCGAGCACGAAAATTGATAAATGGAAGTTTCCACACATCGTAGGAAGTCTCGTAGTCCAGGGTCACTCATTAAGCTGCTGCTTGGCTTGGGAGGAGATTACTAGATTGTCTATACTAATCATCAGGGCATCTCAAACATCTCTATCTATTGCCTCTGGCACCCGCAGGCGCATCGGTTCTTCTCCTCTTTATCGAAGTCCCAATAGCATCTCTGACTTCTGGATCGCTCTGGATAGTGTTTTGCACAAGCCACTCCTTTATTTTGCCTTTCGCGTATCCAAGAGCTTTCTCATCGCCCATGAATGGAGTCAGCTCTAACTGGACAGCCCTCGAGGCATCTGTATCCATATTCTTCGCCGATGCCGCTAGCCTATCTAATTGCTGCGCCAGCTGTGCCTCCGGCGTCGTGTTCGCAGGTGCTTGTGTGGCTGGCTCGAGATGTGGCCCTATCTGGGAGAAGGCGATGTAGAGTGTAATACTAATTTTACGCCCGAGTTGTATGAGTTGGAATGGTAGGTATGGTGGGTGCCTGGTAAAGGTCATCAGGAGAGGGTTGAGGATGTTAACGGCGAAGGCAGGAAAATGTGGGCGCGAAATCGTGTGAAGTTCAAAGACACAGAACCCAACGAGTGTGAGCCAGCGCCAGTATTTGCCCCATTCCAAAAAGCCAAATGTTCCGAGAATATACATGACTATCGCCGCTGCGCCGTAGTATGGGAGGATGGCCTGCAGGCCAAGGACCACGTAGTCGCGAATTCCGGAACAGCGCTGCCACTGTGTTACTTCAGGGCCGAATCTCTCGTATGCAAATCTCTTTGCCGGGTTGAGGAGGGTGTCTTGGGCGAGTTTGAGGTGCACAAAGTATCCTTCAGAGCTGGGGGATGTGGAGGACACTTTGTCTGGGTGGTAGATGGCCGCCAGTCGCCGAAACCTAGACTTAATTTCTCTTTCTGTCGCCGTGTATGGTATCCCCAAGTCCTGGTAATAGTCGCTGGCACGCCGTATCTCCCAGTCTGCTTCGTATATCGTGTAGAGGAGGTAGGCTGACACAACTATCATGTGTATGCGTCGCCTATGGGCGATCCAGCGCTGAGAGCCTGGCTGAGGTTTTGGATCGCCGGCACGGATCATGATGCCGTAGTATATCGTTTGAACCCATCCTGTGACAAACTGATCGTCTTGTCAGTATGCGCTGGAAATAGATATGACATCTGTCCAGTTGGCGCTTACGTTTGGCAGGAAAGTCCAGCCTGCAAGCGAAAGTAGATTACCAGAAGACATAATACTTCAGTCGCTAGCGGAGGAAACCGAAGCGTATCATGAAGTAGGAATACTGCCGTTGTGCGTTATGGAGAAAAGCGAGTGATGGGTGCGACAGCGAGCATGCAGATAGAGTAATTGAAGGCGAGGCTCTACCTGTCCACAACGCCTCGGAACCCCATGTGGTGCTAGCGAGCCACGCTAAAAAGCGGCCGCTCAGCCTTGAGGAAAAAAGTTTAACCTTAAGCCGGTCGATCATGAGAAGAGGATGAGGATCCCCCAAGTCAATCCGTATCATCTCCAAGATGTCAAATGAGACAGCGCCCCCGTCGCATATAGCTACGATGGGTTCCGAAAAACATAAATCGAAGTCGGACAAGAAATCCAAATCCAAATCGAAATCGAAATCGAAATCTTCACCGGGCGAAAAGAAGCGGAAACGAGACCACGGAGAGGACGCACCCAAGTCCAAGTCGAAGAGACAAAAGTCCGACAAGATAGCTGCGGAAACAGAAAGCCTCGACGCCCCGTCGACGATCTCGCCATTCCACTTGCAGACGTCGTCGCTGTATCTGCCATTAGCACCGGTTTCGCAAAAGTTCCCGCTCGAGGGCATTTGCGCCGAGCATCTCTCTCCGCTCCTCCTCACATACTACCCGCCATTCAATGGCGTGCTGCTCTCGTACAGCAACCCGCGACTATCCGAGAAACCGTTTGGGAACGATGGACACGAACTGTTATTGCAGAACCATGACGAGTATTCTGTGAGCTGGTCATGGCTTACTGCTGAGTTTTTGCTGTTCAAGCCCGAGACAGGAGCGTGGTTGGAGGGATACGTCAATCTACAAAATGAAGGTCATTTGGGACTGGTGTGTTGGAACTTGTTTAATGCGAGTATCGAGCGCAAACGCCTACCGAGCGATTGGGAATGGAGGTATGTCAGTGATGCGCGGGAGGGGCTTGAGGGGCAGGAAGAGACGTATGCGGAGGAAGACGCGGGCTACTTTGTTGATGGAGAGGGAAAGAAGATCGAGGGGTTGGTCAAGTTCAGGGTCAGGGAGACTGAATCAAGTCATGATCGCGAGAGAGGTTTCTTGAGCATCGAGGGAACAATGTTGGGTGAGGAGGCTGAGAAAAGGCTCGCAGTTGCAGAGAGTGAGAAGTTCAAGGCGGAGAAAAGCAGAGATACTGCAGGACGAAGGCTTGGGGGCTCGCGAGCTTTGGGAGCGACAAATCTTGGTGTGACGGTCGAGCCAGCTTGAATACAGAGTAATGTCTCTCATGTAGTAACGTCTCTCATGTCGGGATTTCCCGAGCCTTGTACGAACTTGCGCTTTGGAAAAGCAATTCTACAGGTACTGAATTCGCTTCTCGTTTTCTCACGGCCCCCAGTCCTTGGCTCGACTTGCAAAAAATGCTCCTGTAAACCAAATCACCATTCGATCCCGAAATGTTGAGTCTTATATCCCCACGGCTGACCCCCTTCTCCCTTCTCGTCGCCCCCTTTCTGAAACCAAGCTCGTCATGTCACGTGCACCATCTTCTACAAAAACAGTTTTAGACCCGGCGTAGTGATACATTCATTCATTCTGCTCACTCCGATATCGCAAAAGCTCCGGCATACATTTTACTGAGCATCATGGTACGTTCAGAATGGACTCAAGCTGTGAACTCGAGGGGTTTCGGCTAACGATGGCCAGGTTCACGCCGATGCTTCGACTTTCGCGTCAGATTTGACGAAACAGGAGGCATATGCGCAGGTATTAGAACAGGCCGAGGCGCTGTTCGAGGGACAGAGGAACTGGGTATCTTCCCATCCATTTTTGCATCCGCCCATCTATCCATCTTGATCTTGGCCAGAGGCAATCACATCACTAATGCATGTCAGGTCTGGTACGCATCCTGCACTCGCCACGTGGATAACCAAAACCCCTGCTGAGCATCATTTCCGAACAGCAACCTCGCAAACGCAGCTTCGCTGCTATGGCACGCCTACAAATCCCTGGGGATGCCCTCGTCGGAGGTCAACTGGGCCGGTACGCGTCTCCTACACGAAGTGTTCTCGAGGCGAGGCTGCTGACCACTGCCAGGTTTCTACGTCCTGGACCCTGGATCCCCGCCTGCGCACCCGCGACTCGTTCTCGGTCCGTTCCATGGCAAGGTGGCGTGTCAGCTGATCCCCTTTGGGAAGGGCGTGTGCGGTGCGGCTGCCAGTACGAGGACGACGCTGGTGGTCGACGATGTGGAACAGTTCCCCGGCCGTGAGTAGCTTGCATCGTCCCTCGGCTTCGCTTAAAATCCGTCTGCTGTCGGTGAGCGCCGAAAAGTTGGACTGGATGCTGATCCGGGTGCCCAGATATCGCTTGTGATGGAGCCTCGAAGAGCGAGATCGTGGTGCCGATTTTGAAGGACGGCAAGCTGGTGGCGATCATTGACGTTGATTGTGCGGTAGAGAGCGCTTTTGAGGAAGTCGACAAGCTGTGGCTGGAGAAACTGGCACGTCTACTAGGCGATGCATGCGAATGGTAGCGGGCTGTCATTCAGAGTCTTACGTATAAGGATAATGCTGGAGACGTAGGTGAGCCTCTGCACAGTGTCAAAATACCTTATTGTCATCTAAAATATGTACGCTCACTCTGTTGCGTCCGGTTGATACGGGAGGCGTGGCTGCTAGGCTTCCGGCCTTGGACTTGCCTTGACTTTCCACAGGCCAATCGGAATATCCGTGCGCAGTACTGTATCAAAATCGCATACTTTGTATTTCTCTGTGCAGTTCTAGGACTCAGCTTTTCTAAATACCTTCCTTTGAAATCTTTAACCGATAGCGGTATCTATCTTGGCAGCAGATACCCACACACGACGGACGCATGCGTTCTCGCTTAGCAGAAGCGAGGCTGAGGAAATGAATATCCGCAAACAAACTGAATCTCGGATACGAGCTCGAGCGTGGACGTAAGTCCTCACTCGCGGTTCTGTTTTCCGGTCGGCCGATAAGATCGAAATACCCAGCAAACGAAGACACTACTAGTCGTGCCTTGCGGCAAGCAATGTTCGACGACCACTGGAGCTCAAAAACCTCAGGCTGCTGAATTGGTGTCCACGTTCGAGCAACTTAGCAGCTTGCTCCAGGGACTGGAGTGAGCAACTGCGCTTCACATCCATCGAGCAGCCGCTCCACCTGGATCCGCCCACCCGGCCACTTGTCCGTGAGACCCTCGCTCACTACGAAGCTGGAGTCGGCCCTGCACGAAATGGCACCTGGTCTCAGCTGCAGACCAAAAGTTCTACATCGGAGATGCAGGGTCGAGTGGTTACCCCCTCGGTCCCTCTCCTCTCCCATCCTCGTCGAAGGTTCCTGAGAAGAGAGTCAGATCACAGGCCTGACCAGCGGCACCCGAAAGACATACCGCCGTCTCTCAACACCGACCACAGCAACCAGTCCGGTATCTCGAGCCCTGGGCTAGCGCTCCAGGAGTCCACGGCGCCGTTGACGGATCCTCGAGCGCCACGAGCTCGCAGAAAGCTACGCGGTTTCCGCCGACGTCTAGCGCGTCCCGTTTGAGTCCGCTCCCTAAGAAGAAGAAGGAGGCGGCATTTCTAGCTCTAGCTTGAAGTCTGCGAGCTCCCAGCTCCGTGCGTGTCCCAATGGGGAAGGGAAGAAGGGGCGCAGAAGCGATCAAGTCTGCCGTGATGACGGGGGACTGGCTGTATTGCTGTCAGATTGGAAAGCTTGCAACTGGAAGTGATCGGTTCCCCACCGGTGACTCCCAGGGGACTCCTGGATGCGAAGCTACATAAATATATTCGTTCGCCCTCGGTGCGTATGTGTTACGGGGGAAACGGGACGGCTAGGTGGCAGACAGCCTAGGCTGGCTGGCTAGGTAGGTACCGGTAGGCCTACAGCCCAACCGAGCGGGCGCCCCTGCGATGGCTCTTTCTATTCGGCAAGTCAGACCAAGACTGTATTGCTCCGGGGCAGAGCCGTGCTACCCACGCATCGACAGTCGCGAACAATACATCTATCTATCTATCTATCTATCTATCTATCTATCTATCTATCTATCTATCTATCTATCAACCAGCTTCATATCCGCATGCCAGCTCAGGTCGATTTGGTCATCGCGGTCGAGACTCTTGCTGCTGTCGTGCGACACGCGGAGTTACTGGCAAATACGCCAATCCACCCACCACACACCTAACAAAACAAACAAAACAAACAAAACAAAACAGACAAACCCATTCGACAGAAGCGGCCGTAGGAAGAGATGGGGGAATCATGAAATATAGTCAGAAGACGGCACGTGAAATCGTATCGGGACATGTGATTTGGATCCGATGACTGAACTTCTGCCGATGTTCTGTTCACGTCCGGCTGGCTGGCTGGCTATCCGTGTCACCGCCGCCCTCGGATACCCAACACTCCGAGAGTGAGCAGGAAAAAAGAAGAAAAAAAAATCACATCATCCTCTTTATATAGTCTCCGTTAAGGGAAAAGAGTGTCCGCGATTTTTCCTCTCCCTCTCAAGTCCCGGGAGCCATTTTCCGAGTATCTGTAAGGATGTCCGAAACTTAGGTACCCGGCCGGGACGTCCTGGCGGCTGCCAACCGTACCTGGCAGCGAGAGATCCATTCGCCGCCGCTGCAGACGTTGCGCTCTTTTCATTTTTCTTTCTTTTTTTTTTTTTTTTTTTGTTTTCGAAAAAAGCATCAAGGGGTTCTGTCCGTGCTAGGTTGATGCGAAGCGATGATGGGTACCCGGTACCGGTACCGGTACTTGTACTTGTAGGTACTACTATCTGATAGCCAGCAAGCCTGCTACCATCCCACAGCTCGCAGTAGGTAGGTAGTAAATAGGTAGGTACCGGTACTCGCTCCCTCCGGGACTCACTCAACCACGCGAGAAAGCAGGGCCCCTAGCGGAGATAGGGTATGCACGGTCCCGGCGGGCCACTGCTCGCTCCTCTTGGGGCGTACGGCCAGTTGCATCACTAGGTACGTAGTAGGTACAGACAGGCGCCACCCAACAGACGTTCGTGATCGACGGGGGACCGGTGGGTATGGGTATGGGTATGGGTATGGGTATGGGTATGCGAGCTAGGCTGGCTGGATGTGTTTTATTGGCTGTTTGGCTGTCTTCTGGATCCCGCTGTCCTTTGTACAAATACAGAGCGGCTGTTTATTGGGAAGGGATTACTGCTACTTGTCGGTGTATATGCTTTCTTCTTCTTTTTTCACTATCATTCGAGATGCTAAAGTCGACGAGCATAGGGATAGGGATAGGGATAGGGATGGGGATGGGGATGGGGATGGTCCTCCAGAGTCCTGACCCCGCTTCCAGCAAACTCTAATTCATACCTACTGTAGGGAGCTGCGAGCTGGGATCTGGGATCTGGGATCTGGCATCTGGGATCTGGCATCTGGGATCTGGGATCTGGGATCTGGGATCTGGGATCTGGGATCTGGCATCTGGCATCTGGGATCTGGCATCTGGCATCTGGCATCTGGCCACTCCATTCCGGTAGTAGGCGGTCTAGGAGCGGGGAGGGCTAAGTACGTAAGAGTAGGTACTACGTACAACTAGTACAACGACGTAAGTAAACCCACGTAAGAAGAAATCATCGTCGCCATCTACCAATCCGGACAATACTGTCTGTCTATAATGCCGAAAGATAGGTAGTGTTGGCCCCTTTGTTGATTTGGTCCGCCGAGTTCCCGGGCTGTGTGTGTTTGGGCGACGATGGTGCTGGGCTCAGACGCGGTGAGACCGCCACGGAGCAGGGGATGGATGGATGGATGGATGGATGGATGGATGAGGCTGCCGAAGAAGACTCGGCGGAGAAGAGGAAGAGGAAGGCCGAGTCGAGAGGGCGGAGTCGAGTGAGACCTGGCCCAGCCCAGCCGAGCCGAGCCCACTTGGCTTGGGTGGTGTGTTGTTGGTTTTTGGCTGCCTTGCCGACTTCGTACGGGGCGTTGTTCCATCGCATATCATAGTACCGGTACAGCCAGCTACCGCTATCTACTAACTACTACGGAGGTTGGGAGCAAGGCGCTTCTGCTCGCTGGGTCAGGACAGACGTACGGTAGTACCTCGCGTGATGTGTCTTGGATCGGAGGAGCCTAGGTATCTCGACCATATAGTAAGTAGTAGTACCGGTAGTAGAGAGTACGAGGTTGAAGTCTGAAATGCGCATCCGGACATACGGAAAGATGTCATCGGGACCAAGCAAAGCAGCCAGCGTCTTCCCGTTGCTGAAATATGGGTCTGGGCCCGATGATGACAGGAGATGACAGGAGACTACGGTACCGGTAGAGTACCTCCTCCTACTACTACCGGTACTACTACTACTACTACTACGACTACTACTTGACTGCCTCGTCGTCCATGCGCCCGCTCGTCATAGCGCCAGCTGCGGCAAGCCGTAACGTACAAAGTATATCTTATCCGAGGGCTCGGGCCATGGTTGAGACGGAGAACGGGGCTGACCTTGGAATAGCTACCCTCACCTGGTTACGAAGCAGAGCGACACGGGATGCATCGCGTTTCAGTCAAGAGTTGTAAAGTAAAATAAAGTTCGTTTGGTATGGGAGAGTCATGAGACGAGAGAAGCGAGAGGGAGAGAGAGAGAGAGAGAAGGACCTTTCCCCCCCCCCCCCCACACCCAAGATGTCGGTTACTGGTACTTGGTCGCATCGCGATCTGTGACACTGAGTTGCACTGGGAAAGGAATCCTGGGCCGGCCGGCAGATGCCCGATGGAGCTCAAGTGATCTCTTGGCCGGAATCTCGAGCGCCGGGCTTTCACGGCGAAGCGAAGAGACACCGGAGGATCCGTGCCCAGGGCGTTTGCACGGCGTCTGAACTTCGGATGATGATCTGCTCCGGAGAGTCAGTGGCTGCAGCTGCTTGAAGTATCCCTGCGACCGGACTTCGTTCTTGCTTTGCCATCGGCGTACGGAGGTCGCCCGCTTTCCCCGTCCGCACCATCATCATATCATCCCTCGCCTCTTCCCAGCCGCAATATCAACAAACACCACCACGTCGAGGGCGACATACCGTACGACAACACTTCACCACCACCAGTCTCTACGCAACCAGATCAACCATAGAACCATAGACACTTCCCCGGTGCAGCTGCAACGCATAGATCAACCAGGCGCAAACGCGACGGCGTTCCAGAAACCTCGGATCCCGCCTCCGCAACCCCCTCGCTCACCTACCTCACCGATGAGTCTCTCCAGCTAGAGCCATCGACATTCATCCGAGACGCGACCAGATTCCCCCCCGGGGTCCACCACCACCATCATGTTCGAGTACTTTACCTTCGGCGCGCACCCGCAAACGCGCTTCTTCGAGACAGGGGGGCCCAACGACACCGATGACCACGACGACGGCTGTGCCTCGCCAACAGACACCTCATTCTCGCTCCCGCCGCCGAAATCTCCGACGTGCGTCCTCCCCGCCCACCGCAAGGGCGGGATCCACGACATCATCACGGCCTTCTCGCAGCAGAGTCTCGGGTCCGATGACGCGGAATCGGCGAGGCCATCATCCGGCTGCAGCACCGGGTTCAGCACCAGGGCCAGTTTCTCCCTCGCTTCGAGCCCTTTGACCGACTACGAGGAGGAGGAAGGTGCTTCCTACAAGTCCGCGCGCCCGGCTGGTTCGGGACCGGGGACGGGCGCCTGCAGCAGACGGCTGCAGCGACAGCTGGATGTGCAGCTCCAGAGCTGCGAGAGGCATGTGAGGGACATCAGCTCGCTGGTAGAGGACATGATCAGCAGCAAGTCGCAGTGTCGGCTACGCTCCTCCGTATCTGCGCGTCGCCCTCGCGGGTCGGCGGCTGCTTCGTCGTCGCAACCTCCGTCCGGCCATCCGGAGCTGGAGTGCGACGAAGAGGACTATAAGCGCGGCAGGGCGGCGGGGGTCGGGGCGCATCGCGACGCGGAGCTGCTGGATATCGACGAGGGCTTCCACGAGATGGAAAGTCCGGAGGAGCCGTATGGGAGAAGTGAGGATGAGAGTGAGATGAAGATGGCGCCGGGAGGAGGAGAGATGACGCTGCGAGAGGCGAGTACGCCTCGTGGTATTCGGAAGGGGAGATGTGGGCGGGGGAGGTGGAGGGGGCGGGAGGGTATGATGGTGCTCAGGGCGTGGCGATGATGGTGCTCAGGGCGTGGCGATGATGTCGCGCGCGGCGCGCGAAAGTCATGAACTTGCCGCGAAGGAGGCAGTACCAGCTTGCCCGGCTGGTCGAGTCAGCGGGTGAGTGAAGAGACCATTTTTCGACTGGGGAAGCTGGGATGTATTAGTCTCGGTCTTGGATGTCTGAAAAGATCGGTGTCGATGTGGAAATGGGGAGCTGGCTGGGTATCATCGGGCACGGGGGAACCTGGAACCATGAAGGGGCTGGATGGGCGGGTTTGCAAATCACGGCGTGGTGCTACCGAGGGACAAAGGAAGCGCGGCTTGGGACTGGAGCACAGCACAGCATAGCATAGTTGCCGGCATCGGGCCACGGATATCAATAATGTCTCCATGCCATTACTGTGCGATTGCCCTTGATTCTTTCTTTGCTGAGCCAAAGAAGAAGAAGAAGAAGAAGAAGAAGAAGAAGAAGAAGAAGAACACGTTCTGGGTATCCCGCCCCCCCGCTCTCATTCATTCCTATTCGAGTCTTCAGAGGCCCGCCGAAAGAGAGTGTCGCCGTGGTATTTATTTATTTATTTATCTATCTATCCATCTATTTATCTACGAATCTACAGCTCTCCGCCCTCGCCTTGTTGAATCCTATACCGTACGCCGTACGCCGTACGAACTAAAGTCTGATGATGCTGATGATGCTGATGATGGTGATGATGATGATGCTGATGCTGGTTCTTTGAACGTTTCCATGTTCTCGAAGTAGTAGGTAATACAGCCCATGTATTCTCACTTGCAAATAGAGAAATTATTTTTTTTGGGGGGGGGGGGGGGGTGGGTTTAGCTTGAAACTTGCGCTCTATAATTGTGTAGCCTAGTTTTTTTTTTTTTTTTTTTTTTTTTTTTTTTCAGAACTCGATCTGTTTGGCTTATTATATATATATACCTTGCTCGTGACAGTCGCATAGATTAGCTATGTGGTCAAGGCGATCGATGAAAAAAAGGCGAAGGAGAGCAAGATTATCGGTCTTGTGTTTTTTCATTGTCTGTTTTGCTTTTCCTTTTCCGGTGCGATAGATAGATAAGTGTTTCTAGGACGCAAAGATTTGGCGGTACGATCAAAGGCTTTCGGATCTTGGCGTCTGGAATGATGTACCGTATGTGCTGGACACCCTCGATTTCGCATTTACGACGACTACCTTATGCGGAGATTTTTTGGGAGGGGAGGGTTTGAATTCTTGTTCTCTTTCGCGTCGCGTCTTTAGACCAAGCTGTTCGAACTCTTGGGGATGGGAGAAGGAAGACAACTTGACAGTCGGGGTAGAGATCGCAGCAGCAGTCCTGCAGTTATACATATATACATATACATATACATATACATATACATATATATATTCAATCTCGGTGCATCTTACCTCATTCGAGAACTGAATGCTCTTACTGAATTCATCCAGACATGCATGAATATTCCGCGGGACCAGGGAACAACTGTATTGACTACGTACCAGTTTTCTCTCACGTTATCAGACACCGACTAGACTTGGTTCCCGGGGATCTTATAATGCAGGGCTGCCGTCTTGCCTTGATCATTATGCATTCCTACTGTGAATAAGCCATAGTGAATTCTTTTTTCTCCTTCCAAAGAGATAAGAAAGACAAAAAAGTCTATCGACTTAATCTCGAGTGAATCGATCTGATGGGATTGAAGCTTGTGTCGCGGCTGAAGGCCGGCATACTACGGAGGTACCTACGTAGTACTTACAGCGGTTAAGTCTGCCGACCCACTTTGGAAACTAGCTTAATCAAGCAATACCTTTACGGTCCTTCGCTTTTGTATCACTGAGCGCGATGCGCGTTCGGATCTTTGTTTTTTCGTATACTCTACCTCGTACGGCATGTTATCCTCCATAGGCTGCCATCGAGGCCGATGGGAAATGTATAAAACATTAAAGAAGTAATCCTTTTCTACAGATTATATATTGTAGTATCGCGTTCAGCGACACGAAGCGGGGGATCTGCTCTTTAGCTCATGCATAAAAAGACTGGTTCAGAAGCCCAGGTTACTCTTATATACATACAGCCTTAACTGAAGTGATACGGCCGCGATTACTCTGAAGCATGACTGTCTTTAAAATTTGGTTTTTATTTCCTCTAAAAAGAGCCCAGCAATTTAATCAAATGATTGCTTCGCTTTCTCCATGAGCCGTCCCACTGATTACCATTTGGAAGCCGAGAGCGTGTCTACGCTCGAGTCGACACTAGTTGATAGAATAAAACTGCGCAAAAGCCGGATTACAAAGTGAATAAGCGCTAAGCTCCGAGCGTATCTATCACGGTGGATTCTGCACAGAATACCGGTATCAGCACATGCTAAGGTCTGAAGCAGATAGCACGATCTACACCGACTCCGCAAGCAGTCCAAGAATGGATTTCCGCGTTATGGGCGACCGAATGGCGAGCGTTGAGCAATCACCTTCCACCATCAGATCAATCGAAGTGGAAAAGAAGATAAGAAAGGTTGCAAATCAACAAAAAACCGCATTCCATAATCAGGGTTCTAAACGACAGCAACATCTCTCTTGACAATATCAACACTCCCGATTATCGCTTCAAAAACCACATCTACAGACCCCAACGCCATGACATCTGCAAATCAGCAATTCAAAAGGACGGAAGACTCGCTCGGTATCACATCAGATCCGACTTGCGTTACCATGTAGCCTTCACGAAGTTGATTTTCCTCGCTCTTGTAAGATTCCAGCGCGCTACCTACCACCGAGGCGCTCTTTATATTCTTTTCCGAAGCCACCACGACGTGCCGTGCCGTGCCGAGCCGAGCCGAGCATGAGCATGAGCTTCACCGCAGGCTCAACGAACATTCCTGATAGAAATCTTGACCGATTCACACAAAATTCACGAACGAAAAAAAATAAAGGCATTTGGCAATTGGAAGAAGACCTTGGTAAAGCTCGTGGGTTTTGAGAGGGAAGCCGCTAGGGCTGAACGTGGCCTGGAAGAGGTGGATCGGGGGCGAATCGCAAATCGTAAATACTTTTACGTAGTTGACCTCGACATAGTAGATTTACCATTGCTTGAGAGTACCGGTACCTCCATCCAGCTCTCGCATTACAAAAGTCGTCGTGCAATATTTCTTCACGTTGAAAGTCACCTGCTAGTTTTCTACAACCCTAAAAGGTACTAAATCGGTAGCAGAAGTGCAACCGGATAGCTAAATATCGGTCGACGATAGTGATTAAGGTGTGCAGCCAATCGATTCGTACGCTTTTACAATCATCCCATCGGCCTTGGTAAGGTCGTCCGTCAGAGAGTTAGCGATCCCAACCTGGCGAGAACGGCCTACTCGTTCTATCGTCTTGGGTGACGGCAGGATCTACTGTATCTATCTTCAAGCACCTCGTTCTGATACCGCGCACGCACGACATACGTGTGGTTCCCGTGCCATCCGGTCGTGAATCTCTATTCGTAGGTTACGAGCATCCACCTCTCAAGACATTCCGATTGATTGTCACTTTCACACTTACGAGACTCTCTCGTCCTTTGTGATGTTACAGGTGATACCTCGCAGAGTCCGCCCCGCCAGCGTCCATCGTTTGGACTCTGCGGAAGAATTTCGTACACGATGTAAAAAACCTATCTTCTTCTATCTCGTTACACGGAGCACATACAGGGTTCGATATGTTCGCAATCGTGTAACTCCTAGAATATTTTGAGCATCGATGATAGTGAGAATGTCGAAGACTGCCCATCTGGTTAGCTACCGCTTGCGGACTACGAATAAAGACGGAGTCGCCTTCTGCTTAAGTATATCCAATACTCAATTAGGGGAAGGGAATGACAATTCATGATTATATAGCCTGGGATATCTCGAACTTCTAAAGCTTTCCCACTCCGGATACGCCAAACACGCTCAAAAAACCAGAATTGAATATAAACAAAAAGGCGCAGGAGTTTTCTTTCGCCTTAAGAAGCCTCAGGAAACCTCATCAACTCCTATCCAGGTCTGCCTTCCTGAAGAACTCCATGACCTTCTGGCCTTTCGTTTGCCCCTCCCGGGCCTGCCCATTTCCAACCTTCTTCACCGCTGGTTGCGGGTAGACTGGCAATTGCTTTCCCCCATCTTCTTGAATAGGCGGCAAACTCTTCCTCTTAATAGTATTCTTTCTCTTCCCATTCTCTTCCTTGATATCGACCTGCAAGCTGCTTCTCCTTTCCTCAATCGGCAAGGCCGGCTGTCGATTATCCACCCCCTTCCCAAGTAACGTCTTCGGCAACAACGGCACGTTCTTCCAGTGCCTCTTGATCTCCTCATTCTCCTTCTCCTCCTTCTCCTCCTCCATCCGCCTCCTCACCTCCGGGCTGATTTCTCCCCTAGCTTCTGCGTCTTTAAGCTGCCGTCTCGTGATTCCCTCGATGGCTTCCGCGGTAAGCTCTTGCCGCATCAGGCGCTCTATAACTTCATGCTTGCGGGTGCGTTTGTCGCCTTTGGAGATTAGGATGCCGGCTGTAATATTGGCGGTGATGCTGAAGCAGAGGATGACGGTCGTGAGGGCGAAGGGGCGGGTTTTGTAATTTATGCCCCAAGTGCAAGCACCGAGACTTATCTGGAGACAGGAATGCAGATCTAGAAGCAGTACGACCGCCACCAGGAATTTGAGGGGGAATGCGTAGTGGGTTTCTGTTTCGTGAGGCTTGTAGAAGGTGTGGCTCTTGGAGAATTTGCGCTCGTGGTACTCTAGTTTGGTTTGTTGCTCGTCGGTCAACACTGAGTATTCGAAGGCTGGGTCCCGTTGTTTACTTTTGCTGTGAGCGACGTACTTGTCGGCGTACTTCTTTGGGATCATGGGTGCGACCTTTCGAGCAATACCGCGGGGCATACGCTTTGCCACCAAGCTTTCAATGTCGATCCGAGTGTGCGCAGCGTCTTCTTCGCGCTGCTCAGGGAGGTCGTTGCGGTCTACCAGGTCAGGGAGGCCGAGTTCTTGGCGGAGCTTCCAGGAGACGCGGTGGTAGTGCGCGATGTATATCATATGGTAGGTATCGACTGCTCTGAAAGGTGCTAGGCCGTCTCCAATGATTGCGAATAACGCGACCAAGATGTTGTCAACTACGTTTACGATGTAGCTTTGCTTTGAACCCAGAGAAATCCAGCCGATGAGGAAGAACACCCAGGCTGCGCCAAAAAGAGTAATGAGTGTAGCGTAGACCGTGATGAAAAGTCCCATAGCTACAAGATAATTAGTCGGGAGACCGAGTAGCGAGGGTACCAGGCTAACTTGCGTCGGCGAACATATTGCCTAAACCCTTTCAATCCGCGCTTTATTTTGGCTCTTCTGGAATGAAGCTGGTGCCTGACCAGGTCATCCAATTCCTCCTTCTCGGCATCTGACCATCCAGTAAGCTTCTCGCCGTTCGGCAGAACAGCGTACTCGAGTTTAGCCTGAGCAGTTGTGGAGCTCTTATGACGCGAAAGCGGATTCCTCAGCTCCTTCGAGATCCTCTTGACCTTACTCATAGTGCGAACATCCTCTGGGCTTTCTGAAACTTGATAGGCTGGTCGCCGGTTGATAATCTTGCCTAGGGATGGTATGAATAGGGAGTTTTGGACATTGGTCAGGGTGGACAGTGTTGCAACTTCGGGGTCTGCAGTATGTTAGTCTCATCACTTTAAATCTTGATGGCTGAACATACCAATGACATCTAGCATGTCCACCATGGAATTGTCATATTCGTTCCTCGAAGCGGCAGATTCCTCGGTATGGCCATCGTCGTCGCTGAAGATCGACTTGAAGCGACCAAAGAATGATTTTTCTTTACTCGTGGCTTTATTGTGAGAAGCTGATTCCTCCGCATTGCCTTTATCTAGGGGCTCTCCGTTTGCGCGCTGGATCCGAATGCTGGGCTGTTGACTTGAGGTCAAGGCCGACTTCACCCTCCGTCCAACCGCTGCGATCGGGTTCTCTGCTGTCGTAGTTGGCGGAAGTTGCGGTGCGGAATGGGACATGATCGCGATAGCACTTGCGAATTTGATGAGTTGACGAGACTTGCGACGTGATAAACAAACGCGCGATGAAGTAATTCCAAGTGCAAAAACACACACTATTCAAACGCAAGCGATTATCGTTTGACGCGGAGCCGTTAAACAAGAGAAGAAAGCCATGATCGAGACGCACGCAACAAGACGGTGAGAATTATACAGGCGGTCGAGGAGGAGGCCGAAGATAAGGTCTCGATGCTTCGTAGACTAGTACTGTCAAGGGTAGTGACCCAGTTTTTGCCCAAGTATTTAACTTCCTCACTCCACCGATGTAATGACGCAGCTACGGAGAGACTTACTACGTACTTACTACTACTTGATTGCAAATAAATACCTAGTGGTCCATGCTGGATTAAAGATTTCAGGGCCATCTGCCAAAGAGTCACAAGCGATGCGATCTGATTATTTCAAAACGCTTTTCGTCTGGTTGTGATTCATTTTGATTTACATCTGGAAAAGAAAAGGAAGATAAAGCTGAAAGCGATCCGAAGTGCTTGTTGAAGGAAGGTTAACTGCGCCACGCTAGCTACTCAGGAAGCGGAGAAGGATTTTTTACTTTCTCGATATCGTTCGCAAGGGAGGTGTTGGTAACACAGGTATTGGTTTGATGGTCAGACTAGTCTCGTATCAAGGGGTTTGGTTGTTGTGTTGGTAATGTCTGGTATTGCTATACCTACGTAGTACTTGGTAGAAGGTTGTGGCGGTTCCTTATGTGAACCACGGGTGCACGTGCCATCGTCACGTGCCATTTGCTAAGGCTATCTACCTAGTAGCTCTACAGTACTAGTAGTACCTTCCATTCCCGATCAAGCCATAATGGCCTATCGTATTCCGACAGAAAGAGTAGGGAGGCTCGCTTGGCCTGCTGAAGCTTTTTTTAACCCCTTTCTTTCGTTCTTACTGTACTACAGTGCTATTTCCCCCTGGTTTCTGAAGGCTCAAAGCCTTGTCAACTCTATTGCACAGACTAAATACTTGTCTAAAGTTACTTTTCAGGGCTGAATCCTTATACGTAGTACGTACTACCGGTAGTACAGTAAGTTGGTCGGATCAAGCCCTGGTAAGAGCCCCTGCACAATTATACTTTTCCATAAGCATCTACCAACTATTCAAAATTAACCAACCAACCATTATCACAAAACCAGGCCTTTCTCTCTCGCGCTCTCTCTCTATCTCTATCTCTATCCCATCACCAATATGGCCACCCGAAACCTCTTCCGAAAGCTTTTCCGTAATAGAGTACGACAGCGACCGCTTCGCTAAGGAGAAACGCGGTCTCTCCGATCTCTCCGATCTCCCGCCCTCCTCGACATCTTTCTCACGATGCAGCAAGAGAGCCAGCTAGCAGCCGTCGCGAGAACACCTTTAAGGCTCGCCTTTCGCGATTCCTGAATTGAACATCGATAAGTACAACAACAATAACAGCAATACCCATAGCCACCCATTACAGAGGCTATAAAGTCGTCACTTACAAAGCCCGTAAAGACATTTATCGCGGGCACTTTGAAATCATCACCTCGCGAGGACCAGTCACCGTATACCATGTACTATGACTGGGCTGCTAGGGAGACGGGGTGGTTATTAGCAGGGTTCTTACTAGCCTTGTCTTTTGTATTCTTTTTTTGTTGTTGGTTCGCTTTTTATCAGGATTTAAAGCGGCGGACTAGGTATGTTAGCGAAGAGTCCGTCGGTCGAGGAAGGGGCAGTGGAGTGGGACAATGTAGCAACTGGGCTATGCTACCATCCTAGGTGCTTAGAGATGGAATTGCGCGCAGACATCATTTGTAGGCGGCAATGCGATCAATGTCTTTTCTATCATCGATATTGGTTTAGCTGGTATTCGCTCTAACTTCCAATGGGTTGAAGCCTAGGGTTCGGGGGCAGTGTTGCGGGCCTATTCGTCTTTCCTGGGAGAGGGTTCTTGGGAGATAATATCTGAAAGAGAATATTTAAGAAGGAATATCTGGAAGAGGATCGTTATAAGGGAATAGCCGAGAGAGAATTCTGGGAAGAAAATAATTGATTTTTTTTCTTCTTTTTTTAAATATTGCGATAAAGTAAATCTCAACGGAGATCAGAAGATCGGTTTTCAATTCAATGAAATACCGTCCCACCCCATCACGATACTTCCTTTACTTTATCCCAGTTTTTCGTCTCCAGAACCCAAAGAAACCCATCTAGTCACTTCACCAGTAGTTGAATCTCCACTCTCCCTTAACACGATCGATCGACCATCCAAGACGCCTTTTCGAATCTGTCTGACAACCTCACGGGTACGTACGTACGTACGTACCTACAAGTCCCAAGAGACCAACCCTCCAAGAGATACGTACCTACCTAGATCACTCACTTCCTTCAGGCAAGGCAAAGCAAAAAGCAACCAACGGCCCCGCCTTGAGCCTTCCCTCACCTTTTCGCCCCTTCGTCCCATCTCCTCCTACCCCAGACTCGCATTTTCACCATCTCGATATCCCACTCATTTCAATTCGATTCATCGCCACCACTGCTACTGCTCATGTATGGCATAGATCCTCGGCTTTGGAGCGGAGATCGCGACCTTTGAAGATTAAGCGAGCGAGCGCACCGTCACGCTTTCGCGTTTCCCATGCAAGACGCGAGCCCGCGAGCCCATACCTACTCACACCTATAACCCCTATTTCGAGGTATCGCCGGGTCGCTTGTGATGTTAAATGGTGAGTTGGGTTGAGGCCTTTGTCGCGCTTCTTTTGAAAAGGTCCAGCGGGGGGGGGATGGGGGTGTGAGGTCCGCGATGCCATATCCGATAATGGCCATGGGGCCTGTTTATTGGCAAGTCTGGCAGGTTTAGATGAGGCTGGAGGAAGCAAAGTCGGCGTCTTGGTGGATTTGAAATGGATTTGAAAGGGTAAGGGGGGGGAGGATATGGGGCATTGGATTTCTCTGTTCCTAACTCTAGCTCACAATATCAAACCTTGATAGAGAGAGAGAGACGATTTCTTTTCTGCAATTTTTTTAGGAAATAATAATTTGATTGTGGGATCTTCGTGGCTATAGGCTTTCTTCACTCTTCTCTATAGGTACGGTATGTGTTTGTCAGATGGTATTACAGTACGAATCAGATCGTAGTGACATTGTTTACCGAGTCTTTCTGGGTCGTAGTTGCTTGCTTACCGAGGTCGGCAAATGCTACATGTTGATTGGAATGGTTTGCGCCGGATTGAATCCACTACAACCAAAGGTGAATATCAACACCGGTTTGTATGTGACTGAGTCACGTTTTGGAATGGATATGTGACTTCAGCAACTGCTTCGTTGTTTGAAGACCCAACCGAATACTTAGTGGGGCTTCTGGTCATATTGCCGCGTCGGGGCTTCCAAGATTGTTTTGAATCTTTTAGATCGAGTGCACGATCAATAAATCATTTGACGATGAGAGTCAACACTTTTACAAATCCGAAGCAGAGATGGCCCCTCGTCCCAAGATCTTCCTGATGCGACACGCAGAGGTAAGTCTCTTTTCCCTCTTCCCTTCCCCCTCTTCCCTCCACGCCGCGCATCCGCAGCGACGTAGCCAGTCTGATCTTACAGGCCAAGTCCAAAGTTTGGGACTACAAACTGCACGAATGCATCAAGCGCGAAAAACTGATCGACCCGAAGCTCACGAAGCGGGGACGGAAGCAGTGCAGACACCTCGCTAGGCACTCCAGACGCGGATACTGCGACGCCGTGACGCACATATTCTCGTCACCGCTGTCTCGCGCGCTCACCACGGCCTGCTTGACGTTCACGAACGCGACGGCGAGGGGGGTGCGCATCGTTGCGCTTCCGGAGTTGCAGACGATGGGCACGAAGCCCAATGGGATGGGCCTCTGCTTGCGGGAGCTGGAGGCGAAATACGGCGATGGTGGTCACGATGATAATGGTGATAATTGTGGTGATGATGGTGGTGATGGTGGTGATGGTGGTGAATGTGGTGATGTGCCGGCGGAGGGGGCGGACATGTTGTCGACGTCAGCCACGCATAGGTTCCGGGGCCGAGTCGACTTCGCGTCCGTGCCGACGGACTGGAATGATGCCGCGCAAAAGACTCCGCTTTCGGGAGGCCGCTACGCGTCGGTGGAGGAGAATATTCGCGTCGTGAAGGAGAGGTTGGCGAGCCTGCGTGCTGGATCCGGCGATGGCGACGGCGACGGCGATGGCGATGGCGATGGGGATGCCATCGTGGTTGCGGTGGTTGGGCATTCGAGCTTTCTGAAGCATTGGGAGGCGGATGGTGAGTCGTCACGTTCTCTCCCTGTTAGTATGTGGTGTGTACGTTCTTCGATCTGATATGCTGTAGTGGGATGGGATACCTTTTATATCAGGCCGTGGTTCGCGGCAGCTGAAGAGGAAAAGCCGGCGAGGGCGATAGATACCAAGGAGGTCGTGAAGGAAATTCCTGAGGGCTCGAGGTTGTTCCTCTGAAAGCTAGATTGAACAGGAGGAAGTAGAAAGTCCGGAGTTTTGAAAGGGTTTATTTAGTAAATCGGAGAAGAAAATAAATTAATAACAATGGAAGTTGGTCAGGTCAGGTCAGGTCAGTCGGTTGGTCAACTTTGCTTACCAAGCAAGCTCTCGCTTAATAGTAATCGACGACCTTCAAATCAAGTTCAGGCCCTACTACCAGTATTAGGTGACCCACTATCGATGTTAGCGGCAAGTCACATGCTGATTAGTGCGATAACAAACCGACCGGGACATGTTGCCCCGCGTTCCGTTTCGAAAATCCAACCAAAGTGCGTGTCGATACAAACACCTACAACACCACGGACCACAGACCATACCACCGCCGCCTCTCCCCAGAACACCATCGTTTTCTCTCGAAATCTGGACGGCGAATAAAGAAGAAGACACGAAACTACCCGCGCAACTGCGATTCACTCATATCTCTAGAAGAGAGTAGCATCCAAGTCTCTAAGACGCAGACACAGACGCAGACGCCTTTGCTCTTATCACCCCAACCAGAGCTATGGAGGGGGTCGACGTCGACAGCAAGCCTAGCCAGCACGACAGCGTGTTGGGCTGGTATGACCGGACGAGACCCATGTGGATCGACCTCATCGGCGACTATGCCGGGAAAGAATTATTTCTCGTGGAGGGCGACTCGCTGCTGAGAGAATGCTTCGAAGACGAGAGAATTGATTTCAATGGTGGGTGATTTGCCCCTCCATTATGTTGGACCCTTCACTTTACCCCTCCTTCCTATTCTAGCCCCCGGCTGGACTTAAGGCGGCATGGCCACGGTGGTCTCACAGTAATCACCACTATATACAAGTTTTCGGGCTTCAGATCTGGTAGTATTGATGGTGGTGGGAAGGGAAGCCTCTTGGACGGATTGCCCATCATATATGTTGGGAGAAGGTGGGATAGTATCGTTCAATGCCCGAATCGTGATTTCTTCGGCAAACAATCACATGATTCGGCTATCAGGAACCCGGCTCGCACATTAGTCAATGATCCAGCGCGTACCAGAGTAGCAAACAAAAAAAAAGAGAAAAAAAGATCTGTACATTGCTAACTACTTGATAGATGGTTTCCAAGTTTTACATGCAGTCTATGTCGTTGAGCGGTTCCTTGGGGACCTGCTCAAGAGACATTGCCAATTTCACATTGCCTTCTTTGAAGGTCAGTTGACAACCCACCCCAATTCTTTTGTCTGCTATTAGCTAGCTGACTACTACGGAACACCAGAAAACGCACAACTATGCATACCTCCTGGTGTGAATGCGGAGCATGAACCTCGTTACTTGCTTGCGCGATCCATCATCAAGCGCCATCTCACTCGGCATCTACCCTCCGCCTGCGCAGTGGTAATCAACACTTTCCCGGGTCTTGATTCCGAAGAGTTCGCCAACTATCTGGATATCTCCCCCGTCCACTTTGTTATGAGCCATGATGGATCTCGGAGAGAAGCCAAGGCCGACACCAGTGGCCGCGGCACCAATCGCAGTGAGAAGGTTTCCAAGGTTGCATTACGGAACATAATCTGGTGGTTCAATACTCACAAGCTGAACGTTGCTCTGATCAACCGTATCGAATTTCGAGACTCAAAAGTGTTCACGATGATTGTCGAGAGTTTTACTGCATCGAGCAAGCTCAAGCTTACAATGGCCACTAACCTAATCAATCGAGAGAAGGATGCCAAGAAGCTGGCTGGCAGTTCAAATGCCACTGAGGCTTTGGATGCGAAGTCATCGCTACAGCCACAGGTACTGGAAAAGCTGAGTGACGCCTTTTCGGACAAAGATTTGAGCGAAAGTTATTTCTTGGCGATATATGGTGTTTCGAAAATGTTGAAGCTAGAAGATTGCGAAACGTTCATGGCATCCGCGTTTATCCTACACAGCATATTTCTCAAGCATATTCCTTTATCTCAACGAAGACTTCCTCTCATCACGTTCGATCCAGCATTCGAAGAGGAGGTCGACGAGTTTATCACGCAGATTTCGAATATCTTCAGATTTGCGGTTGAGAATCCAAAGTGGAACGAGTTGATGGACGAGGAAGAGATCGAGACGGATGCCATCGATCTAATTGATGGTCGATTGTTCAGAGCTGTGATACAGGCCATGTCTGAAGACATGTTCCGCGATGTTGTGCCAAAGGCCGCCCTTCCAGATTGGGAGGCTCTAACTGCGTTGGTGAAGGAGCTTACAAACGAAACTTTGTCTTTGGTAGGAACTGACGGCCCCGAATTTACACATAGTACTGCTTCGAAAGGCGATTTCGACTCCGTCGTCGATGACCTGGCTGTGTTAAAATTCTCCAACCCCGTGTTTGACAAGCACTTGGAGTGCATTCATGTCGAAGCAGATGCTTCACTTTCCGCCCGCATGGATGAGCTGAAAGTCTACCGAGAGACGTCTCATTGGCACAACCACAGAAAGCCTCTCAATCCCAAATACGCTCCTGCAGCTAAGGTCTCGAAATGGCGGTAAGTCGCTTTGTAAAATCCCGGTTTGCCCCAAATCATCCACGGCAGTAGCTAATATTTTGCAGCAACCCTCTGCGAACGAACCAGTTCTACATGAACGAGATGACTGCTTATGCTGCGAGTCTCACGGGAACCAAAGGAAAGGCTCTCGACGCCGAAACGATCACCGTTGGTCCGAAGAAGTTGATCAAGCTGGCAGATGAAAAGCCGGAAAAGTCAGAGAAGTCACCTGCTGCCAAGTCTAAAAAGGAAGAGGCGCAAGACCCCAAAGCAGCGAACAAAAACACCGCTGGAAAGAAGGGAACCAAGACCGCGGCGGCTGGAATGTCCAAGAAGGAGCAGATGATCGCTGACAACATGGCGCGCAAGGGGGGCAATGAGGCAGATAAGGCGTTCAATGCTTGGTCTATGGTCATGAAGTCCTTGGATGTCATCTCCGATGACCAAGACCGCTACATCAAATCTATAGAGTACCTTAACGGCCTGGATTCAGCCAAGACGTCGTACCTTGAGGCGGAGATCTACACATACATTCTGCAGTCCTTGCTTACCTGGTGGTCCAGTTACTGCAAAGCAGACAAAAAGTCGGAGGGATACCACGTCGTCGCATTGATCTGGACTACCATTCGGTCTCTTTGCACAACGAAATCTCCCATTTCGAAGGAGACTGTTCAAAACATGGCCAAGATATGTACTCTTTTGGGCATCACAGATGCGTTGACATCCTTCAACCCCACCCCTGTCGATCGGAAGCTGTCATTCACCTTCAAGTACCCGATGCAAGCCCAAAATTTGCGCATCGTGGGTACACAGGCTGAATTCCAGCTGAACTATTGCGGACCATACATGGACAGAATGTTGGATGCCAAGCCAGACCCTCGAGTTTCTAGCTTTGTTCCTGATGGGTGGCAGCGCGATGTTCTTGATCAACTCGATGCCAACAATAGTGTTTTTGTTGTCGCTCCTACTTCTGCCGGAAAGACTTTCATATCTTTCTATGCCATGGAGCAGATATTGAGAGCCGACAACGATGGTGTACTTGTTTATGTTGCGCCCACCAAGGCACTGGTCAATCAGATTGCCGCAGAAGTGCAAGGTCAGTTGTGCTGCACGTTTGAGATCATTTACGCTAACATCTACCTTAGCACGATTCTCAAAGAAATTCCTCCTCCCCGGTAAAGGTGTATGGGCTATCCATACCCGTGATTACCGTGTCAACAATTCCACCGGATGCCAGATCTTGGTTACTGTGCCTCATATATTGCAGATTATGCTTATGTCCCCGTCTAATGCAAAGTCGTGGGCAACAAGAGTGAAGAGAATTATTTTCGATGAGATCCATTCCATTGGACAGGCGGAGGATGGCGTTGTTTGGGAGCAGCTTCTGCTTCTTGCCCCATGCCCAATCGTTGCGCTTTCCGCCACGGTTGGAAACCCAGCCCAGTTTAACGACTGGCTCACCGAGACACAAAAGTCAAACGGAACTGAGATGAAGATGATCCAACATGCTACGCGTTACTCTGATCTCCGCAAGTACATGTACGAACCCCCTAAGAACTTCAAATTCTCGGGACTTGGCAAGTCGTTTGGTGTCGGACTTGGTCTCGATGGCTTAGTCGGATTCAAGGCCTTCCATCCAGTGGCTAGTCTCGTAGATAAATCTCGAGGTATGCCTGACGACTTGGCGCTCGAGCCTCGCGATTGTTTGACTCTGTGGAAGGCGATGGTGAAGTTCCAGACTGCCGACTTCAAGGTGCCTGATTCTCTACACCCCGAAAAAGCTTTACCCCCGTGTGTGCGCAAGGCCGACATTTTTGCCTGGGAGAAGAGTCTGAAGAAAGTTCTCTTGCAATGGATGGCCGATCGCAAGTCTCCTTTCGACAAGGTCATCGAAGAATTGAGCGTTCCCTCCTCGATTGATCCAGCGGACCAGGTTCCATCCTCAACTGCCTCGTCTGTTACCGATTCGGACCCTATGGACCCTGCGGACCTGAATAGCACCACACTACCGCTACTGTACCAACTTCACAAGCGTCGTGCGCTCCCGGCCATCTTCTTCAACTACGACCGTAATCAATGTGAGCAGATTGCCACAACAGTTCTGAACCAGCTCGTTGAGGCAGAAACACGTTGGAAGGAAGGTCCAGCCTGGAAAAAACTGATGGAGGGATACGAGAAGTGGAAAGAAATGAAGGATAAGAAGGGTAGGAAACCTCCAAAGCCTTCCAAGAAGGCCAAGGGCGACGATGACGAGGGAGGATCCAAGATGGATCGTATGCGAGACGAATCATCTGAGGGTGCCTCTTTTTACGACCTGTTCGACCCTGAGGCTCCTCAAGCAGATTTCTCATTCGCAAACCCCAAGCAGCTTCAGAAGGCTGAGTTGGACGAGTATATCCGCTCGCTTCGGAGAAAGAACATTCGAGAGGACTTGATTGCACTTCTGACCAGAGGCATTGGTGTCCACCACGCTGGTATGAACAGAAAGTACCGCCAATGTGTTGAGATGCTGTTTCGCAAAGGTTTCCTCCGAGCCATCATCGCCACGGGAACTCTTGCTCTTGGCATCAACATGCCTTGTTCAACGGTAGTATTCAGTGGCGATTCGGTGTTCTTAACCGCCCTTAACTTCCGCCAAGCTGCGGGTCGTGCCGGTCGTCGTGGATTCGATTTGCTCGGAAACGTCGTTTTCCAGGGCATTTCGGAAGCGCGTGCGAGCCGTTTGTTGAGTTCCAGACTTCCCGACATGACTGGACACTTCCCCATCACTACTACATTGGTTCTTCGGTTGTTCACCCTGTTGAACGATTCGAAGAGTGCCCCCTACGCGGTCAAGGCCATCAACTCTCTGCTGTCGCAGCCCAGACTTTACTTGGGTGGTCAGAGCTTCAAAGAACAGGTCCTCCATCATTTGCGATTCTCAATTGAGTATCTCCGTAGAAACGAACTCCTGGGACCCAAGGGACAGCCAGTTAACTTCACAGGCTGCGTGTCACATCTCTACTTCACCGAGAACTCGAGTTTTGCATTCCATGGTATACCACTCTCTCTGCTACTCATTTTCTGGCTAACATTCAACCTAGCTCTGCTCAAGGGAGGCTACTTCCACGTTCTCTGCGCTGACATCGATACCAAGCCCGAGCCTATTATGCTTGAGATGATGCTTGTACTGAGTCATCTCTTCGGACGTCGCGTAACCCGCGAAGTTGACGATCCCGAGGAAGCGGAAAAGATCAAGCGTTCTCCATCCAACGTTTACCTCGATCCGATGCCAGAAGCCGCCTCCAAGATTCTTCGCAAACATAACAAGGACACTCTGGACGTCTTCACAACTTACGTCAAGACCTTTGCCGCCCAGCACGTTAAGGAAGACGAGCGCTACCTGCCATTGACCCACACCCCAGTTGGTCTCGCCCCTCCACCTGCCAACGGAAAGCCTGCGAATGCCAACGCAGTCGCCAATGGAAGTGCCAAAATTGGTGTCAAGGATGATCACTCGCTTGCAGGCTATCTCCCGAGCTTGCCAACTCCACACGCACGCTCCGCCTTTGTTGCGCTGTCCGGCAAGGGAGACGAGTTCACGACCATTGAGGATCTCTGCACCTCTACCCGCGAAGGTATCTTCCTCGAGTCTGCCGTCATCCCGCATCTGGAGTTGTACCCGGATGAAACCAGAACCCCCCTGAACGCATATCTGCTTGACTTCTACAAGCATGGCGCTGTTGAGCCTTTAGATGAAGCTAATGGTATTCGCAAGTCTGATGTAAGCCTCTCCTCCAAATTCTAAGCCCTCTCATCATCATTGCGAGTGAAGCCGTGCTGATTGATCACTCCTAGGTCTGGTTTGTCCTCAACGACTTCTCGATGATTCTGGCCACTATTGTCACATCCCTCGCGCTGCACCTGGGCCTACAATCGGACGCTGACCCCGAGATGCTCGACGTTATGGGCTCCGGTGACGTAGCCGAAAATGACGCCGACGCTGAAGTCGCTGCCGCTCTCGTCCCCGAGCCCACCAGCGACGGGAAGTTCTCCGCTCCGATCCCACCCCCGGTCGTGAAGAAGAAGAAGAAGGTGGTTGATGACTGGGACGCGGGCGAAGACGCGATCCAGGCGGAAGAGGAGTTTTTGAAAAGCGAGGGCATGGGGAAGGAGGGGATCGGCAAGACGGATGATGAGGAGTATGAGAAGTTGGTTGATGTTTACAAGGGTTTCCGGATGCTGAAGACGGCGTTTGACGAAAAGTTCTTTTTGATTTTTGCTTAGATGGAGGGTGGAGTTGGCTTTATTGTGGTTGGCGGGCGGGCGGGAAGCTGGGGAGGATATTTAGAGTCTTGCATAGGTAGATGTGCGTTGTTGTGGCCAAGAGGAACTTGGAAAATTGGTTACGGAGATTTACCTGTAAGCAGGTGAATAAATAAGTACATGGATAGAAAAAGGGCACGACTTCCTTCCCTCTGTTTCTCTCTAGTGAGTGATTTAAGTAGCCCCTTTCAAAAAATTTCCCCGCTTGAAACAATGTCAGTCTCCTAATACGGATTGGACATACGGGACGAGTATTGCGCAAAGGGGGGCCAGGAAAGCTACATATAGTACTCGGGGATTTTTTTTCCTTTTCAAGAAAAGTCTGAATGAACCAACCACGCACGGCACGGAAAAAAAAAGGTCGGTTTTTGACAAGGCGGACAGCCAAACCAACCCAACCCAACCAGCAAAGAGGAGAGCGGAGATCCTCCGTATCAATCAAACAAGAAGTAAGCAAAGAGAAATTACCGGCAAGATGTCTCTCTCTCTCTCTCTCTCTCCTCTTTCTCTCCTCTTTCTCTTCCCGTGATTCCCCGTTCAGACTTTGAGAAAATTACCGAGTATCCCCGTACCATTTATTTATTTTATTCATTTATTTATTAGTGGTATTCTAAGATGTCGGTAGGCTCAGCTCTCTCTTGTCTTGTTTCATCTATTTGTTTTTCTTTTGTTTTGTCGTGTCTGGTAAAGTGAGCTTTTTCGGGGCGAGAGGGGGGCGGGGATGGTTGGGAAGCGGGTTCAGTTCGGATTTTTTTTTGAAGAAATTGAAAAGCTGGAAAACTGAGGAGGAGGAGGAGAAGAAGAAGAGGAGAAGAGGAGGAGAAGGGGGTGGGTGTTTGTACTGATTGGTGCGTAGGTAGGGTAGGTAGGGTAGGTAGGTAGGTACTTCGTGCGCGTTGTTGGGCTCTTCTCGGGGCGGGGATTTATATGACTTGTATACGCCGTGCGGCGGGCGGGCGTGTATTTGATAGGATAGGTAGGTGGAGTATATCCGTAGGAGTTATGAAATACCACGGGATACAAGAGTTTTCTTGGGTTTTTTTTCTGGATTGGTTGTTTGCTACTTACTTAGGGTAGGTAGCTAGCTAGAGGGGGGTACCGAAGCTACTGCTACTGCGTACGTAGTTGTATGTTTTATTTTTACTATTATCGGTAGTTCATTACTTCGTATAGTTTTGACATTTTCGTTTTCCTTGCTATAAGAGAGTTTGCGAGGGGTGGGTGGGTGAGGCGCCCCCTGAAGGCGTGAGGCATGCATATACGGAAAGGATAGGCAGGATAGAAAGGTTGGGTGGGTGGGCTCTTAAGCGAGGTCGAACCTTACTTAGCGAGGCTTAATCCGATCGAGGTCGACATCGATACCGGTAGGTATCGATGAATCAGGGAGGGAGCTGACATTAAAAAAAGAAAGAAAGAAAAATCAATCACTATATACTCTGTAGAAACCAGCGTTCCACGCTGATACCAAAGCTCAGATATGTAACGAGGCAATATTCGCATAGACGTATTCGTAGCTGCGCTGTCGGAAGTCGTCCGCCAGCAGACCATTACTCGACTTCTCGAAATGCATCAGCTGCTTAGCCTCGCGCCACTGCGGCCAGTGGGCCAAGCCGGTCGTCGCCGCCGTCCCGCCGTTCGGATCCAGCGTGTTGATGAAGGAGAGGTAGAAGGCCTGGATGCTCGCGCTGGGGAAGCCGGGCGTCGTGCCGTAGCTGGGTAGGATGTCGGAGCCGTGGCACGTGCCCAGGACGGGGGTGCCGTACAGGTAGGACGAGAGGTAGGACCAGGTCGGCACGCCCGGGTTGAGGTCGGCCGCGACCTGGAGGAGCACGCGCCGCGTCAGCGTGAAGACAATGTCGCCTAGGACGGCAGCCAGCCGCTTGTACTGCGGGTAGATGTTGTTCTCGGTGCCAGTGCGGAAGGGCGAGCCGGCAGCGGGGTCATCCGGGTAGGTGGCGACGAGGTCTTCGATCTGGGCCCGCGTGGCCGTCTTGAAAAAGATGTTGTTCAGATATGTCACGAGGTCGGCCGTCGTGCTCATGTTCCCCTGGACGAGAGAGAAGAAGGTGCCCTCGTCTTCCTGGTCGCCGATGATGAAGGGGACCTTGGCGTACTTGCCTTTCGTGGCGAGGATCTCGGGGGACTCGGTCAGGACGGTGCCGTCCGGGCGGGGGACGTATGAGAGGGATATGGATTGGTAGTCGAAGATCCCTGGGACCGACGAAGTCGCTCGGAGGAACTTCTCGTAGGGGAGGCTGCGGAGACAGGCGAGCGTGTCCGGTTTGCCGGAGCAGCCGGCGGACTCGACAACGGCATCGTAGATTTCTTGAGCCTGAAACCCGTCCACGGGGTCGGCAGGGACCAAGCCACCGCTGCTCATGATGCTGCCTCTGAAGAGGGGCTTCCCCTTGTAGGTGTGGTCGCCGTTGTAGATGGACATTTGTCCAAAGACGGAGATGCTACCGGCGGACTCTCCCCATAACGTCACCTTGTCGGGGTCTCCTCCGAAGGCAGCAATGTTGTCGGCTACCCATTGTAATCCAGCTCGTTGGTCCAGGTATCCAAGATTAGATGCACCATCTTTCTTGATTTCGGAACCACCCAGAAATCCGAAGCCCCCGACTCGGTAGTTGACGCCGACGTAGATGATATCTTTCTTTTGGGCAACAGAGGTGCGGACAAGGTCGCTGCCATCGTAGATTTGGCTAGATCCTAGTGCAAACGCTCCGCCGAAAATCCAGAACAGCACAGGCAGTTTGTCTCCCGCTTTGGCAGACGATGGTCTCTGCACGGACACCGTCAAGCAGTCCTCACCGGCATTCGAGATGGCCTGGAAAATGCCGGTGTTGACAATATCGGTAATGACATCCTGTGGAAGAAAATCTGTGTTGGTCGAAGTTAAGAATTGGGGGCATGCTCGAGGAAGTCCCCTCGCGAACACGGTACCCAGGTTGGAGGTGATGGGCTGCGGAGGCTTGAGACGGAGGTTGCCCACCGGTGGTTGAGCGAAGGGGATGCCTTTGAAGGAGTCGACTCCGAGGAAGCTGGATCCGATGACCTTGGCATTTGCAAGTTCGACTATTGGGATCAGATCTCGCTTATCCTTTTCAGCTGGTGCAGCCAGTACGAAAGGGAGGAGGTATGTTGCCACAGTAATGAGAGACTTCATTCTGTTGAAAAAGGAGCTGAAATGAGGAATAGGTCATGAACGAAGGGTAGAAGATCGAGCTGGGGACGGCTGGCTGGCATCGTGAGACCTGGGTGGAGGTGATGGGGTTTATAGTGAATGTCGGAATAACATTCCTGGCTGCGGAGTACATGGCGGAATTGAACAGTTTCTCCAGACTATCTCTCGGTCTCCTCTGGGCAGCATGCCTGATACAAAATACGAGGTGTAGACGGTGTAGACCCTTACATTCCCAATTGGGGCAAGCCTTTTGGCTGCCCCTGTTGTGTATAGCTCTCAGCTTTTCTTGTCCACTTAAATGAACTTCTGAACCTCTTATTCCACTTCTTTACAGGCCAACTATCCACACCTGAGGATCATAAACAGGGTACTATGCAAGGGAATATGAATTTTTCTATGAGCCTCGAGGTATACTTGTGTGGCCTATGACGAGGTATCATAACAGCAATCTAATACAAACAATGAAAACCCTTCAAAATAATCAGTATTTGTCAATCGATCGATTGATAATCAAGTAACAACTCTTTTACGGCCTGCGAATTGAACTAAGTTAATTTTTTAATACAGCAAAAATGCAACGTGTTATTTCCAACATAACAATCACAAGAACTATCAATAATATGACAAATTCCTATTTAACCGGCGATAATGAAACGCTGTGAAACGGTTTACGACGACTATCATTTGGGGAAACAGTAAGGCAGTTAAAGAGCTAATAATCAAAACGTATTATAGAATGAGGTGTTCAGCCTTATTCCAGCTCAGTGACACACATCCGTTCGAAGAAGAACCGTCGACGCATACTTTTTTTTCTTTCCGCTTGCGAACTTGGCCTTTGACGCTGGTTGAAAGAAAGTTTAATGCGAAAATATATGCCTCTGCTCCGGAGAAAAGAATGTCTTACTACTACGTACTATAGCTTCGCAAAAGCTACCTGGTTAATCTATCGATTTGATTGGATCTGATTAATTAATCAATTACTACGTCCCAGGCGTAAGTATTACCCCTCGAGGGTAGGGTAGCCAGGGGGTTTAAGTAGAAAGTAAACTTTTGAGGCACCCTCGAGGGGTAATACTTAGGCCTGTGCCGTGGTAGCTGGTCAGTGCCAATTTAGCTAGACCAAGGAAGACAAGATAACTAAAAATAGAAGGTGGTAAACCTTTTATTTCCCCACTGGGGTCCCACTGGGGCTAGACTTCTGCCTATTTGTATTGCAATTAGCTTTCAGTTCTTCCTGTCTAGAACGCATACTTTCCCAATCCCTTGATTCAATCACTTGGTACCTTCCGGTATCATACTGGATCAAGAGAGAGATCGACAAAGCTATTCCCATGGTTGCTGGCGCTTGCACGGTAGGGAATCCGACGGACCAGAATTTGCCCGCAACTACGGCGTGAATAATTCCACTACAGCTGCACGCGGCAGAGAAGGTGCTCGCAGATCGTAAGAGGTAACGAGAAACGACGAGCTGGGGACCGCAAATAGTGCTAGACGAGCAATCATCCTCTAACCAATGCGCACAGTCAACCCAGACAAGACGGCAATGAGGAGCAAAAGAACGAGGACAGGCAGTACAATAGTAAAAAGCGTGAGAGAGATTTTCCGGAGTGCGGCATTGGATCGTCGGGTCGAGCCCGGCGAGGTGATTCCCCGCATTCTTGTCGAGTTGTCGAATATTCCTGATCCTCGCCCCTCTTTCCTCTCTGGGGTCTTCCGGCCAGGGATTGGGGAATTCAAGGATGGGAAAAGGGAAAAGGCGAGGACGAGGCGTGAGGTTGATAGCGGGTTCCGAGGTACGATGGCTAGAGAAAAGCATCTAAAAGAGGCATTGAGCCGTCAGTCATCTTTAGCCCAACTAACCGTCTCTCAAAACAGCAAACGTTCCGACGGAAGAATTTTATCTCTCCTGACACCAATATTATGATACTAATATTGCACGGAAAAAAAAGTGCCGGTTCGGTAGGTATTCCGACTTTTTCGCATGAGATGAAAGTCTTCATGACAGCGATCCGGCAAAACCAGTCACCCACCTCTTTGAGCGCCTGGACGGGGAATTTTACCATCCAGTGTATAATCTCACAGATCAGAGCTGAGGGGAGTCAGTGTTGTTAACTTGGGTAGGGGAAGAGAGAGCATTTTGACGAGGTTGGTACCGATGAGCTTGAGGCGAAGCAATATTGAGATTTGGGGAGACTTGGGGAGATCCGGCTTTATATACGCATGGAAGAACTTATCAATTGCTTTTGGTTTTGAAGTCAATAATCAAGATCACGATTTCAAGCCGTCTCTGGAGGGGGGGAGGCTCTACAGCGCCAGCCATTCAAGCAGGTATAAGTAGCCGGCACCACAGGATTTTCGTGGTGATCAGACCACGATGTCTCTTCATTGATCATGCATGCTCAATATGGATTCCCGTCCATCTTCATGAAAGCCGTAGATCTGGTATATCGTGTATCGTAAGGTCCGAATTGGAGACGGGTGATGTTGATGATTCGCACGAGGCGGATGTGGTAAGGAAGAAAGGAATCGTATATTGCGAGTGCGTCGATAAGAAAGGCTCTTCGCTAAGAGCTATTCTTGGTAAGTTGATTGCTATCTCGTCAAAATGCATCTCCTTGTGTTATATAGTCGCTTGGGCACTTGCCTTGTATCCCAAAGCGGGTCAGAAAGAAGCCAGAGATAGGACATTAAAGAAAGTAACAGAGATAAGGCCATGCTCTGTTTGACCACTGTTGCTAGCCCCAAAGTGAGGACAGACACTCAGAGCAAGGGAATGTTAGTATTAGCATGTATGTTCGTCGCTTGGATCTCATCAAACTTGAGCGGACGTCACGTGAGCTAAGAAGGTTGGTGGTAGATACAATACCGATCTTTCGTATAACCTGCTTCTTTCCTAGTACGACCTCCTTCTCTCCCATCAACCTCATTTCGCTATCTCCTAGGGCTGGCATCTCATGCCTTCGTTGAAGTATCCCATGAGAGCTATAATTTGAAGTAGTAGTATTTCCAGTTCGCTGCGTCGCTATCGATAAGGTGCGGCGAGTTCAAGTTCCCTTCAAGTTGTTGTACAACGATCCTGATGCAAAGCAGATCTTCGAGTCGCCCTTGAGTACATCGCCGCCGTGGTCGAAGCCGCACACCCCGTTCGTCATTCGTTCGTGCCAATTCTCTACTGGCTTGGAGTCCATTACGGCAAATCAACGAACGATCTTGCGCCCGATGAGTACAGCCCTGCTCGAATCATTCATGGCGATTCTCATCGATGGCCTGTCATGATGCCACGCTGTTGGCAAAATCCCAAGGACCTCGCTTCTGGGAAAGTTGGGATGACATGACCGTATACCAAGCCAGTGTGCATGGAGACCTGGACCAAGATGGCGGTGACAGGAATGGCCAGCGAGCTAATTATTATCAGCTTCAAGGGGTGATCAGATCTTGAACATGCCGAGAGCGAGAGGACATTTTTGAGAAGCGCCTGCGACTGCGATAAAGAGTCACACCGATCTCGATCCACTGGGGCTCGCAAACCCTTTAAAAATAATATACGGAGTGCAATAAATAGCCGTTTGTCCCAAAGGCTTTCGGCTTTCTTGCCGTTTTGCTCGGGGATCGATCGTTTTTCGCAAGCCCAGGAGCGCTTATTTTGAAACATTTCATCTTATATCTGACGACACCCCCACAAGCCCATCCCAGCACATGGCCTCGAAACACTTTATTTGAGAATTCCGCGAAGTTTGGCCCCGCAACAACTACAGCGCATTTCACTGCGCCAAATTCATGGCGATGCGGTGTAATTAGAGCTCAGGTCGATGCGCCCTTGGCGCGGCATCTCTCCATCATCATGGTAAATCGACAACTAAGCTTCTACCGCCCGAGCGTCAGGGGCAGCATCTACAACTACTATATATGATGGCCGTCTCTCCTCTTCACCTCATTTACCTTTTATCCTCCCCACCCATTGCAGCCAGCCTGATTCCGTCTTCACCAAACCTTCCTTTCTTTTGGTCTGGCACCACCACCACGTTCCTTACTCATCGCCATCACTCAATCGTTCCTTTCAACCAAGCAAACTAAGCCGATCAAAACAAACAGACTATACATTCCTTCAAGATGCCTTCTACGCTCAGCACCTCTGTTTTGGCTCTGGCCTCTGCCGCCGCAGTCTCGGCCCACGGGTTTGTCAAGGGAATCACCGTCGATGGAGTCTACACCACTGGATGGCTGGTCGACTACGCCTACAACCCAAACCCACCAAAATCCATTGGTGTATGTACATCTTTTGACCTTTTTCTTCAGTCATCTCGGAACTCTGGGGATATCTTATCCCCGGAAACAGATTGGGATGAAGGGCTAACTTGAATCAGTGGTCTGAAGCGGCCCTGGATCATGGGTTCGTCCCTTCCGACAAGGCGGGTCACCCCGACATCATCTGTCACTTGAATGGTACCAATGCCGAGCTCTCCGCCACTGTCGCTGCCGGTACCACCATCGATCTCCACTGGAGTGGATGGCCCGACTCTCACAGAGGTCCCATCTGCAACTACATGGCGAACTGCCATGGTGACTGTGCGACCGTCGACAAGACCACTCTCGAGTAATTATCCCGCACCCGCCAACACCTCGATATCAAAACTGACAGCGTACAGGTGGTTCAAAGTCGACGAGAAGGGATACGAGAACGGAGTATGGGCTTCCGACGAGCTCATTGCCAAAGATGCGATCTGGCCATTCCCCGTCCCTGCCAGCATCGCTCCCGGCAACTATGTCATTCGTCATGAGATCTTCGGTCTGCACGGTGCCATCTCTGAAGGCGGCACTCAGGTCTACCCCTTCTGCATCAACCTGGAGGTGACCGGCTCTGGAACCGAGAACCCGCCCGGAACCCTTGGAACCGAGCTCTACACCCCAACTCACCCTGGGATCTTGCTCAACATCTACGTCGACGACCTCGTTTACCGTAAGTCATTCCGAGAATGCCCCTATCGCTTCCCTGAAACCATCCCCAGCCATGCAACCACCCAACTAACTCTCCCGTGCCACATAGCCATCCCCGGACCCCCTGTGTGGTCCCCAGGCTCTCCCGCTACACCAGCCACCGACCGACCTGCCACACCGCCTGCAGATGCCCCTGTCGTCCCCGACCCCGTCCGACCTGTTGCTGACCCGACCACTCTCCAGAGGGTCCAGACACCCACACCAAAAACTCGTCCTTCCGATCCTCCTTCCAAGCAAGAAGAGGTTTCCACTCCTCCACAGGGAGAGGAGAAGGAGTCTGGTACTACTCCCAAGGGGGAGGGGAAGGAGTCTGGTACTACTCCGTCCGGCACAGAAAACTCCGAATCTCCACTCACCGACGAGGAAGACGAGGAATGCGATTAAGCGTCAGCTGTTTCTCTTCACTTGCCTACCGCAACCCTTACTGGAAAATGACCACCGACCTCAGAAGATCTCTCCCAAAAGACTCTACTGAAGGAGACCGGCTTCCCCTCACCGTGGTTGCGTTCTTGTATATATTTGGCGCTAGCCGCCTCCGTGTCCTAAGAAGAGTCTCTGAATGAATATGCTCCTATGTACTACTCATTCCCTCTCCCCTGCCTTTTCTCTTGCATCTTTTTCATGTGAAAGAGGAGGATATCTATCATAAACAGATATATTGTTGCTGGTAATACTATCAGAGAAATAGTAGTGATGGTTTCACGAGGAAGCAATCGAGTGTGGGTTGATTGACTTGTATTATCCAGGACTAGGAATTGAGGCGAGGTTGTAGTAGGACTCGTGTCAAGGATGAGGTCCGTGCGCTGCTGCTGGTAGGCCAGTGTACCCTCCTCTCCTTACACCTTACCTAACAACATATATATATAAATACAAATCATGATCTAAGATCTAGTGGTTGTTCAAAATTTGTGTGCCTCTTTCCTTTCTTATTTGCTCTGAATCTATCCAAGACTGTGTCATTCCCCTCCCGACACTGGTAGGGAGGAGGAGGAGGAGGAGGAGGAGGAGGAGGAGGAGGAGGAGGAAGACTGTTAGACCTGATCTCCCTAGCCGTGAAGAGCTCTTTCTGATTGCCTTTTCTGCAGGATTCAATGAGGATTCAGAATACTACGTTTCGATGTATATATCTACAAGTTCTTGTAACAGTAGTAGGGAGGAGGAGGGAGGCTGAGCAGGATCCTTTTTTGTGGAATCGAATCGCGATTTGATTTGATTTGATTCGATTCCACCAATGCTGACAGAATCAAGAGTGTAGAGGGTGTTAATTTTAATATGAGAGTGCTGAGAGCTATATACGTGGGAGTAGCCAAGAGGCTAGTAGTCCATACAGAGGTTTCACCTACGCACGACGGCGAGAGTCAAGGCCGGACCGAGAGTCCAGCCAGATGTAAGTCCGAAGACTATAAGAAGTGAAAAGAAAAGGAAAGCAAACAAGCGAGTGAACGAAATTCAGACCGAACTCCAAATATCGTATACATTCTATCCTACACCACAGTACTAGGTAACTGCTAATGCATGAGACCACTTTTCGCACCAAAATAAGGGTCAAAACTAATATATAATAGTGGGCCTTGACGTCGCAACTTTTGGGGCCCTTCCCTAAAGTGGGCGAAAAAATTATGTCCCGCGAAAAAATTATGTCCCGCTTCAACGCCAAAAATCGCGGGGAACGTAGACACTTTAACAACACTTCAACACAACATTTTCCATCAAACATTGACCTACGTACCCAAATAAAAATGGGCAAAAAACGCGCGCGCGCTCTTGCACCTCCTGATCTTAATTCTGAATACTAGAAGCTCTTAAAAGCTTCTCAACATAAGCGAATACAGCTAGCATTCGAATGGCTCCTCGAAAACCCTTCCGAAACACCTCTTACTGCGAGTCGCATTCATATGATAGAGAAGCCTGATACTTTAAAGCGAAGATGGAATAGGTATCAAGCTAAACAAGCTCGATTGAAAGAGGGGAAAGCGCTACAAGTAGAGAGGCTTATGGTTCTATCAGCAGCACAGCACAAAGCTGTTTTGATCTACGCCGCAAATCAAGCAACTAAAGGAGGGAAAGGAGCTACTAAGCGTATGCTTTATCGATGCATTTGCTACCTTAAAATACAAGAAAATAAGCCAAAACCTTCTTGGCGTTGGTTTCAATCTTGGTTGAGAAATACAGCAGAACTCTATGCTATACGGACCAAACCAATCGCATCTTATCGCGTCGATATGCATATCGAGAAATCTCTTTCCAACTGGTTCTATACCGAGCTTGTTCCTGCTATCCAGTTCTGCGGAATTGGGCCTAAAGATAAGCATAGAATCGCAAATATAGATAAGAAAGGCGCGCGGATTTGTATGCCGGCCGGAGAAGAAGTTATCGTACCTATCGGAATCAAAGAAATATATACAAGAATCTATGAAAATCGACTATCCGTAACTGTGATCGAAGCTATTCTTGCCGATAGAAAAGCTATTCCTCTAATGATTATTGTGCCCGGAAAGCAAATTATAGCGTCTTAGTTTTCCGAAAAGATGACTAGACATGAAGTTGTTACTGTTTCCGAATCCGGTTATACGAACGATAGGATTACTATAGAGTGGCTTAAGCACTTTATTAAGCATACCGATCAAGGACCCGATAAACCGTGGATGATATTATTACTTGATAGTCAGCTTTGCTACGAAGCTTTAAATTTCATTCTACTAGCCAAACAAAATCGTATATGGCTTATCAAATTCCCTTCTCATCAAACTCATCTTTTACAACCTCTCGATGTCGGCTGCTTTCGCACTTGGAAACATAATCAATAATGTGCTATCATAAATGCTATTCGAGGCTTCGAAGCTGAATATATTATCTCATCGTTTATGCGAGACTTTCTTCAAATTCGCGAGCAAACCTTTACAACTCGGAATATCAAACACGCTTTTCGAGATGTAAGAATGTGGCCGATCAGCTTTTCTCAAATTCAACGCAAATTGAAAGAGTATAGTAAAAAGAGTAAGAAAGAGGCGGGATTGCATATACTCGAGTACGGAGAAACGTCTGATCTTGAAGAAGATGAATATTCTTTTTCAATCGATAAGCAACCTGACGAATTACCTCTTCTTGCGCTACCTCGACCTCCTTAATCTTTTCAAGATTGCGTAGAGCAACTCGACGATCTAAACGATAAGATCAGAATAGCTCTTTCTTCTCTTAGCCGCTAACGCTTCGATATCGCGAAACAAAGTACCGAGACTTGGTTGTTACGAGGAAGCCTTGATCAAGCAGAACTCGATAAAAATCAAAAGCTTTAGCGCGATACACATCGGAAAAAGCTGATTAGAAAGTCGAGTTTGCAAACGGAAAGGAATATACTAGCTTTTAAAGCACTCGAAAAAGTCAAGGCTATAAAGATAAAAAAGCAAGAAGCTAGTCTTAAGATAGCGAACGCTAAACTCAAGTTAGCAACGATTAAAATTCGAAACGATCGTTATAATCAAGGAGTTCTTGATCGGAAAGCCGAAAAAGAGCGAAAGAAATAGTTGAACGAAGCGTATAAGCAACAAAGTCGAAGGATTCTTATACACATTCCACCCGAACGAGAAGTCCTTATTCGAGACTGCGAAAAGCAACTTATAGCAGAAGAACTAGAAGCTGATAATATTGATTTGATTTCTTTTCGAAACGCAGTTGCAAACGAAAAAGCTGCGTTAAAAGAAGTTCAAGAAAAAGATCTTGCTACATTCGCGGACCCTTCGTATTCAATCGATCCTTAAATCCTTACAAAGGAAAAACGCTTTCGAATCAAACAAAACCTATTATCTTGCATTCAAATTAGCGATGACGACGAAGATGAAAGATTAAATACCTTACCTTCGTCTCCTTTAGCAAAAATGATGCTTACTAGATGAGAAGAGCCTGAAAAAGAGCTTGAAAAGAAAGAAGATTCGATATCGATTCGATCTGTAGCATCTCTTAATTCAATTCAAGGGACACGCGGTGAAATAATTTTTTCGTAGCTTAATTGAGAATGAATAACATTATTAAATATATATATATATATATTATTGCAACGTTGTGAGCAATGTTATGAGCAATATAAGTGTCTACGTTCCCCGCGATTTTTGGCGTTGAAGCGGGACATAATTTTTTCGCGGGACATAATTTTTTCGCCCACTTTAGGGAAGGGCCCCAAAAGTTGCGACGTCAAGGCCCACTATTATATCAGCCGGTGTTTAATAATTATATCTTCGGGGAAGTGATTAATTGAAACCGTCAAGCTCAAATTTGCTTGTTTACTAGACCTAAATACAAAAGATAAAGCTAGAGTCGCTCCTTTAATCAAGACTTTGAAAATCAAGCGAAAGCCAACGTTCTTCTATATTTGTGCTTTAATCAACTCTTTTAAGTAATGATATAACATAAAATCGTCATACTTATATATATCATCTCTATAAGCTTTTCCTTGTTACGTATGAAAAGGCTTATAATTTTCATTAGCCTTTCAGTGCTTGTGGTTGTCGAAAGTCTAAGCTGTCAAATGGGTGCGAAATAAAAGTTTACGCATTAGCAGTCGGGGGTGGCTGTAAGTGGATAGCCCCCCTCCATGTTACAAGCCTGGATACGAGAAACCGTACAAGTCAGACCATCTGATCTGTGGACTGATTACAATACTACGCAAGGCCCCAGCTCAGGCCTTTAATCTTTCTACAAACTCTTTCCCTCTTGAACTTGATTTGTTTTGGTCGCTTAGCAGCGGCGGCCACCCAAACCCCCCCACCTTTTTTTTGTTACGTACCACGAGCGGGGGAACTCGTTAGTTTTGATTCCCGAAACAATGGCGACCCCTCCCACCTATCGAGAGAGACCGGAGCTACCGGTACACCCAGGTCTGGAACTTACTCCGGAGACTTTAACTTCAAGATTATATAACCCCAACAGCTAAGCTGCATGTCATCGATTGAGATAAATGCTTCTCATGCGGAGCTTGAGACGATCTTCCCCCAAATCATTGTGGCATCTCCTGAGCCCATAATTTTTTTTTCCCTTGAATTTCTAAACCGTTCGACGGATTGAAGCACAGGATAGTCTCGATTGACTTTTACGAGGTCATAATAACCCTCAAGAAAAATCACCTTCATAAGCAGGCCTTCAGGATCGAGAGCGAAAAAGATGGCCGAGTTGTTCATCGAGGACGCGGACCTGGTGAACCTCAAGGGCAAGGTTGTCATTGTCACAGGTACGCAGATCATTTTTCAAACGCACGCATGCTTTCTTTACCAGACCACTTTCTACCTTACCACTATTGCGTAAACTAACCTTGACATACGGATCGCTTCCTATTACAGGTGGTTCATCCGGCATCGGTCTCGCAACCGTCAACCTGCTCTTATCCCACGGCGCATCCGTCGTGAGCGCAGACATCAACTCGCCCCCCGAGCAAGCCGCTACCACGTCGGGAGGAGGCGCATTCCTCTTCGTCAAGACCGACGTCGCCAGCTGGCGGGACCTGTGCGCCCTGTTCGCCGCGGCGCAAGCCCAGTACAGCCGCATCGACGGCGTCTTCGCCAACGCAGGCATCGGACCCCGTGCGAACTACCTCGCCCTCGAGACGAGCGACGACGACGGGGAGCTGATCGAGCCCAGCACCCAAGCCCTGGACGTCATGCTGCGAGGCGTGATCAACACGGCGTGTCTGGCCGCCCACTACATGAAGCAGCAGCAGCCGCCGGCGGGAAGCATTGTGCTGATGGGCTCCAGCACGGGTCTGCAGCCCCTGCGCATCCCGGATTACTGCAAGTCGAGAAATCCTACCTCATCCCCGAGGAGTCCTTTTTTCCTTTTCCTTTTTCCTTTTCCTTTTTTTTCCAATTTATTTATATTTATATATATATATATATTTTTCCCTTATCATGGGCTGTTTGAGTTGTACCAAAAGCTCACCATCTAACCCACCACCAGCCACCGCCAAACACGGCGTCCTCGGCTTCGGCCGCGGCTTCTCCCGCCTCATGTCCGTCACAGGTCTCCCCATCCGCGTCAACACGCTGATGCCCTCGTGGACCGCCACCAACCTCCTGCCTGACATCAGTGGCATCGCACCCGGCGTCAGCAACACCGGAGCGGTGCAGGACGGGCCGATCGTCGCGCGCGCGGCCGCCTTTCTCCTCGTCGATGAGGCGCGACAGGGAGACGTCGTGTTCGTCCACCGAGGGAAGTATACGGAGATCGAGAAGGCGGTGCTGGCGCCCGCGCGTGAGGCTATCCAGGGCGGGCCGGCGGAACTTAGCGATGATGAGGTTGTGGAGCGGATCTTGGCGAGGAATGCATCGGTGGAGGGGTGAGCTGATCAATGCTACAAGTATTGCAATTGGTGCTGCTAAAGGGGTTTGTCTATTCGCGCGAAGTAGAAACAAGGTTACGAGATGTGGAAAGCTTGCGCCTTCCATTCTCGAATTCACTTATCCGTCGTGGCGAAGAGTGAATTCAGGAGACTAACAGATAGAAATCAGCTTTGCTTTATTCAAATCCCCCCTCATCCAAAAAAAAAAAAAAATTACATCATCACAATCCTATCATCTCGTAATTGTAGGAAAGCAGTTGGGTAATATCGTCTACACACATCCTCACTCTCCAAACTTGGCTTGAAATTTCGCGACCCTGTCAAGAACTATCGTTCTGCTCCTGATTTCATTCATGTACTCCGTACAGTAAAGAATAGATAATACCACGAAGATGGCCGAAGAAAAACGGCAACGGTGACGCTTCACGGAGACGAAAAAGGAAACCATTTTTCGACTCGAGCAGATAGATCACTAGAAGAAGAAGAAGAAGANA